AGAGATTAGACAATGGAAGTTTGAATTAATGAAATTCACCATGAAACATTGTCAACCACCCTCGAACAAACATGATATTTTTAATATAATATTTTTGTATGTATAAATCTTATATAAATAAGGGTAACTTTTTTTATTACGTTTTTACATGAAAACAATCACACATGAGCATTTTTTATGTATAATATAATATTTTTGTATGTGTAAATCTCATATGTATAATGGTTTCTCCCTTTTTTACGTATGATATTTTTGTATGCATAAATCTTATATGAATAAGGGTTCCTCCCATTAATAAATAAATAATACAAATATATAATTATTTATTACACTTTCACGATATCCGTCACAATCAATATGATTCCCAAACAAACAACAATGATTGCAGGTACACAGCAACACAAATGATAGCAAAATTTTATATGATGCAGTAATGTGAACACAAATACATGAAATGAAGTGTTGCCATCAATATACCAATGATTCCAGTGATGTACCCGCAATAAACCGACCATCAAGTTTTTTGGGGCAGTTACATTAAGAAAAACTGATTAAGCAATTAACGTGAATTGAAAACAAAGTACTTAAGAATACGTCAAAAGTTACACTAACATTTAATTTTCAGGTTTTTTTTAAGTTTATGTGTTGGGGTTATTTGAACTTGAGTTTTTTTTTATCACTATTTATTAGACCGAATTCTCCTAATTTAGTGCTAGTTCTGTTTCTCAAATAACTTATGTTTCATTTAGACCCAATGTTTTTCCTGCTGTGAAGACTTCTTGAGGATCAATACAGAACATGGAAGATGAGGGAATGGGCTTAATCGGTGCTTCACTAGTACACATTCTATTTTCTTAGGGTATTAGAATGATGGACTCTGCTTCAACTGCCTACGTAGATATCCGCCAGATTCCATTTGTTTAGCCATGTACTCTCGGTCTGTTCTTGAGAAAATCAGTAATTTTAATTTCTCTAGCAAATTTGAAACTACAAATAATATTTAGTCTCCTTTTATTCTTCAGTTGTATATTTTTCTGATATACTGATATTAATTCCTCAAAGGTTTGAGTAGCTTCTAAGTATTATTACCTTCTTCAAATATGAGGTTATTTTCCTTTACAACTGTAAAAATATTATCTATGTCACTAATATCAAGTGGAATTTGTGATTTCATCAATTACAATGTCTGGTAAACTTTCTGTTGAACTTTCAGATCCAAAGATTATTATATCACATTTTGTTCACTTCTTTCTGGAATTTTTTGTGTATGTACGTTTGGAATTGCATTTTGCACTCCTCACTCGAAGGCATGCAATGATAATTTTCTGATCAGATGTGGGAGATTCTTTGAAGTAGTGGTGAAGGACCTGCATCTGTCTGACCATTTTGCGTAGTTTTGTACATAAAAGATGAGACCGAAAAAGATCAGCATAAAAACCCTTACTACTACCGCAGGGACTATTGTATAGAAAATATTTCAATATTTCAGAATTACTTGAAACAGGAAAACTGGTCTGAAATGTATACAATAGGGTGTCCAAATCTGGTGTATAAAAAATTTTCTGAGACTCTTCTATAATATTTTGAAATCTCGTTTCCAATGAGAAGATTTTCTATTGAAAAAAGTAAAGGAAATAACTATGACAACAGAATTCGAAGAAATGAAAAATAAAGTAACATTATACACCTCAATTGCTAGGTATGATGACACCTATGAAGAAATCAGTAAATATTTTAATAAGAGTTATAGAGAAAAATTGAAATGTGGAAGAAAGGAATATAATGATTTTCATATTATAAACTCAGATAATAAACCGTAAACTACCTGGCAAATTATCAATAATATACAAAAAAGATCCAAAAGAGAGAAGGAAATTGTTGTCAAGGAAAACGAGGTCATTATCAAAGATACAATACTGTCCGAAAAATTAAATGAAAATTTCTTGAAAACACTCGTCGAAATAAACACGAATGATTCAAAATTTCTTGAGAATAATGTACCGTCAAAAACAGCTTCTTTATGACGGCCGTTTGTGAGAGTGATGTAATAAAGCTTATTGCCCAACTAAAAAACTCTAATGCATGTGGATATGACTATATTTCTAACAACCTGCTGAAAAAATCTCGGAATGAACTCTGTACCTCTTTAACTCTCCTCATAAATGTATCATCTACAAAGGGAATTTACACAGACAATTTGAAACTCGCAACAGTATTCCCCATCTATAAAAGAGGTGATGAGAGCGATTTAGATAATTACAGAGCAATCAGTCTGCTGTCAAGTCTCTCTAAACCATTTGAACTAAATATAAAAAAACAATTAACCAAATTCTTTGAGAATAATAAAACTCTGTCGACATCGCAGCATGGGTTCACTAAGTTCAAAAGCACAGAATCAGCATTATATGAGTTTCAGACCAGAATTATCAATGCCCTGGACAAAAAGAAGTGTGTTCTAGGTCTTTTTATAAACTTCTCTTGTGCCTTCGACTGTGTAGATCATGAATTGTTACTCTCAAAACTATTCAGATCGGGTATAAGAGGGCTACCACATGACAGTTACATCATATCTTAAAGAAAGAAGACAAAGAGTCAAAGTTGGCAAATGCATTAGTAGTGAATCTAAAATTAGCCAGGGAGTACCTCAAGGATCTAATTTGGGTTAATTATTCTTCTTGGTGTTTGCTAACGATCTTATAACATTTATTACCAATAATACCACAACATATGTTACTAGTTACACAGACGACACCAACATACTAATAATAGAAGAAAACATGGAAAGCTTGAGGAGAACCACAGAAGATATATGCAGTAAAATAAATCTTTGGTCGGAAAATAACTTAAAACTCAACAAAGGCAAAACCGATATCATCTTATTCTCTAATCGCAGCCTAAACAACGTGGAGATATATTTAAATGATGAAATGATAAGTCCAGTTGAAAGAGTAAATATGCTGGGAATTGTTCTGGACAAAAACCTGTCATGGCATCCCCATTTTGATGCACTTTGTACTAAATTGAAAAAATGTTGCTTCTCCATTAGGTTCATGTCTAATCACTGTAGTATCAATGCATTGAAAACTTTGTATCGTGCCAATTTTCATTCTCACATTCGTTATGGGATTCTGAACTGGGGCACTGGTGCAGCTGTGCAAAGGGTATTCCTAATTCAAAAATATGTGATAAGAATAATTGCTCAACTAGGTTACAGGGAGTCATGCAGGAATGCATTCAAAGAACTGAATATTCTGACAGTCGCCAGCACATATATATTAGAATCTTGTGCATATGTATTTAGACATAAATCTATCTTTCAACCACATCAACATGACCACAATACTCGATCAAAGGGTCTCTTGGTTTCAAATGCTCATAGAACAGCATTGTATAAAAAAAGTGTAGATTTTAATAAATGTAAATTCTACAATATTCTTCCTGAAGATGTCAAGGATTCTCCCAGTTCTTATGTGTTTAAATATAGGTTACAGAAACTGCTGCTACAAATGAGCTGTTACACTTTTCAGGAATTTATCGAACAACTATAAATTATAGACTCGGTAAATGTTCATTCATATTCATTCATATGGCTTATCAACTTCAATGCTACGGGGATAAATTACTAAATTATTTTTATATTATCTTATTTACTTGATTGATTTACTTGATTAGTTTTGTCCGACTTTACACTTTGTATTTATAAATAAATATATGCTTTTGACGACTCTTCTCCAATTATTGTACATTGTAACAGTATTGCAACAACTGTACTTTTTAATTTGAGAAATAAAGATAATATTATTATTATTAATTCTCTACTTTTATTTTTCAGTTCGTTTTCAAATTTCGAAATAACTGTAAAGCTGCAATCTCGAGGTTGCTTTCCATTTTCTTCTTGCATAACTTTTATATTACTTAGTTCAAATGATTCCAAAAATTTCAAAATTTATTCTTGATATATCAATAATCCAGGTATAATGAATTATTTATGTTTTCTTTTACTTCGTCAGTACTTTATGAATGTGGGCAATGAGAATTGGTCTTTTCCATTAGTTTCAATTTAAAGGAGTTTTATTATCTTGCTGGCATTTAATTATCAGCCTATCTGTTATACAAAACAATGTTCAAATTCACCTTTGCACAATTTCAAAGCCTCTTTCAGTTGTCAATGACTGGTTAAAATTTCAAAATTTTTGAATCACTAAAATCTATGTTTTAGCAGAAGTAATGATTGATTTATATTGATTGATTTATACACTCAACTTTAAATTTTACTTAATCTTTCACTTTTATAATATGTATTAAAAATTGTTGAACTGGGTCATTCATACACCAATGTTAATGAAAAAGTAGCGGTATGTGCTGTAGATGTGAATTTATGGTATTTTGAATAAACAAATTTGCCACGATATTATAGATTTTGGACAAATTATTGAAAATATCTGAAACGGCGTGCGAGTCGAATTATACGTAGATAGTAGTTACACTTCACATTCAATAGTAGAATAAGTCAATATCAATAAAAACAGGCTTATGTTACAAATAATATTGAGCACATTATCCATCAATACATATGCATTCTTTTACTTTAAAGAATCCTTGAAGAAAAAGTACTCATCCAAAGAACAAAAGAAAAAGTAAAAGTGAAAGTATTGTGTATGAATGCTCTTATTGAATTATATTGTGACAACATTCCTAAAGTAAAAGTAAAAGATAAAAAAAAGTATGTTGTAGGTAGTGATTGTATCATTAAAGGGTTTTTTTTTTCTTCTTTCTTTCCAATAACTAAGCAACTTTCTTACCAAATCCTAATATTTTCTCTAATACAGATTGTTATTTCTGTTAACTTTTCATCCTTTTTGAATAGCGGTTGTTTACTTTGTTAACGAGAACATTTTCTTATAACAAAAGTACATATTCTGATACTGATTTCAAATCAAAACCTATATATACTGATTTAAATCAACTATAGTAAATGATGAATCGAAAACCACTCTTACCATCTGCAGTTCGTCATTGAGATGTTCGATATTTGTTTTGTAGTTTTTTTGTATGTCAATTTGGGATTTGACAAACTTCATTTCTTCAGATAACTCATTAATTTTCACATTAAGATTACAGATTTCCTGTCTGTACTCTTCACATCTACAACGAGCTTCCTCGCCACATTTATTTATTGAATTGAAATGATCATTGGTACACAGCGAACTCAAACTCTGAAAAATAAATAAGCTAAACAAAAACTGGTTATTAAAAAAGACAAAACTTCAAAGTAGTACAGTTTTAAGTCAAAAAATAAACTGAAGTAGGTCAAATTCTTTCTCAACCCAAGGTATTGATAGACGCTGAGAGAAAAGTCATTATAGAAGTATCAATTTAAACAAGCTAATGGAAATTATTTATGAATTAGACAGAATTATTCAAATTTGAATTTAGCTATCAGAATACGTTATTCTGATGGAATAGTTCATATAACTTCTATACAGAGTACCATCCGACTTGGGCCAAGTTTAACTTCTATTTCAAATGTGTATCTATATTGAGAAATGTAATTCTCTCAGATATGTATGAGACTTTCATCAGATAAATTATTAGGTTTTTCAACTGTAGTCCCGATAATATTTCGAAAGGAAATTATATTAAATCTCTTTATGTATAACATCTGTTACATGAAAAATTGTTGGCATTCCTATTTCATTTCATTAATAAATAATGAAGAACTTGAAATGTGCTACCACAAACCTCTAATATTCCTAGTGAGTTTAAAAAAAACTTGCACTTTTATGTTACACCATGTTCCACTATAGGATATGATCTTTTGTGGATGTCAATCAGTAATGAAAAAACTGAAAAGGTGTTTTACAAAAATGAAGTGATGAATTTATATGATGTTCCTATAAAATGTGCATATTTCAGAAACCATTAATGAAAAATTCGACATTACCTCCACTCTGAAAAAGTTATTCAGTTAGCATCAGCTATGGTACATACAGAGACAAAATAATGGTTTCATTCGAGGCCTTTATAAAAAAATAATCTGTTAGTCATCAAATTGCCATATCTGGAGAAGTAAAAAACTAAAAAGCTTTTTTTTCCCAAATATAATAAATTTAAAGAGCATTAAAATTCCCTTGGCAAAGCAAACAGTTCTCGAAAACAGCAACATTGTCACAATTTAACGAACTCTATCTCTTACCTTGTACAAAATACTGTTTCATCTTTAGAGGAAAAACATACGATCAAAATAACTTCAAAATAACTGTTGATAAACTGAGTAGTCAGAATATTTCAGTAAAAATATATGTAGTTTTTTAATTGAAAGTGAAGTAAATGATGAATGAAAAAATAAATTACGTTTTTCAGTTGAAGTCCTAACTGAGCACAAGTTTCAAAAATTTTAGTCGACCAGTTCTGAGAGGCCTCGCAGTATTTTTTTAATCTCATAAAAACCTTTTGGCAGGTTCCCATTCGATTTGAAGGCCTTGAAGTAATATCAACTAAAGACCTTTGACTTATATCAAGTATAGAATATGATAATTGGCGACTCCTATTAGATATTTTGGAACTGCCATTTATTCGCGATGTTGGCGATTTCAAATGTGAATTGTAACTTTTTCTTCTTGACACATTAAATGTGTGCAATCGAAGACTCCTTATACTGTCTTCTTTGTTTTTCACCTGAAATTAACATGTGGTTAGTATAACAATTAAACAAGTTCCCATGAAGAGAAAATTGGGTGTCACACCAATAGGTGGTTCTACTTATGTTTCACTTGCGTGTACGCAGCTATTTTTATCAAGTACTTTTCTGGTTTTTCACATTTTGTCTTCAATCGAGGACCGCCTGCCCGGTACTGACGATGCCCAATAGGCAGAAACAGCTGTCTACCGGTGGCTCTTAAATTGAAATCAATATGGGAATGATCAGAAAGTACTTATATATGAAAAATGAACAAGTTAAGTGTTTCCCAAGTAGCAACAAAACACTTTTTTGTCCTTACAATACGATATTGGAAAAATTGATTTCAGGGACATAGCTGAAAGTAATGGGTATCCTTATAGACATGACGATAAGTTAAATAAGGCAAAGTTTATTTTGATTTCATACAAACGAAAATTAATGGGCTAGGTCCTAAGTTCAAAACTGCTTGTTTACTGATAGGTAGTTTTACAAACAAGATGATGAAACCTGAGAAGCCTAAAATTAATTAAATAAGCTGTGAGGAAAGTGACAGAAAGTTTATAAGTCAGACCACCCAAATTGATCAAATTCGTTTCAACAGAATCCTGGAGTGCTTATTCAATTTTATAAACCACAAAAGTATACTGACATTCAACACGCCTCAAATTAAACACAACACTGAAGAAAATTTCTTGAAATTGTTGAGACCAGTAAGTAGACTTTTGGATGGTTGCAAATGTCTGAAAATGTGACATGTTACTCTGAACAGTATTAAAGGTTTTTATACTGAAAAATAAAACTGAAACCTCTGGCATGGAATGAGTCTATAAAAAACACTACTCCCATTGTAATGTGCTTAAACAAAACTGTTACTGTCTTCATTCTGTGTATGTAATTTCTGTAAGGCAAATGAAGTTTCTTTCATGTACTAGAGAGAGCATTTTCACCAACCAAGTTAAATCATCAGGTGATTAACTATACTGATATAGAGTATATAACTATATTGAACAAGTTTTTGTATTATAATGGTGAACGTATTTTAGTTTATTTTATTTTGTTATGAATTTTATATGCATTCTACTTTTGTATATCTCAGAGAGTGGTTTTGACTAGTCAAGTTAGCACAATCAATTTTCATAATTAATCAGTTAGCTGCAAACATCGCAGGTTGGTGGTTGAACATTTTCACTTGAGTAGGTGATGACATTCTGCATCATCTGAAAAGTTTAAATATTTTATTTAATTAGTCGTGACTCGAATAGAAGTCTAAAAACTTTTAAAAAGGTGATATTATCATAGAGACTCAAGTACTCAAAAGAAATGAGGGAGAAAACAGGAGATAATTTAGAACTACAATATTCAAAGGAAAAATATGTACTATTAGTAACCACTACCTAATATTCAAATTTCTCACATAATAAAAAAGGTCATCACCTACTCACATGAATATGTTCAGCCACAAAAAGTTCTCACTACAACAAAGATGATGCTAGAAAATACAGTGGAAAAAATGTGGGATTCATAATAAATTTTCCATAGTCAAAAAGTGTTCAATTTTTTTAATATACATTAAAACATGGTTGAATGCATGTGAAATATTGACAATATGGCTGACGTACACCTGGTATTTTTCTTGAAAAATGAGAAATGAAACTTTCTATGTATTTTTTACCTCTTTTATTTGTACTAACATAACTGCAGTTTCAGCCTATGAGGACATTTTCAAACTAATACAATAAACTTTAGTTTACTGTATTATTTTGAAATAATTGTATAAGGACATTTTCAATTGAAAATGTACACTGTAGTAAGGTAAGTTACAAATAAAAGTGGTAAAAAAACATAGATTTACATTTCTCACTTTTCATGATGATCTCTACCACACAGTAACGGCTACATCCATCAATTTATTGTTATTTTTCAAATTTATAATATATAGGTATATCTTTCCATACAAACTAGTGTCATTAGTGCTTTTACATTATATCATGAAGAAATATATTTGCCTCCTGGAATCGACCTCCCAAATTGAACTGCATAAAAAAGGTTAATTACAGTGCTTTTTGGTTAATATAATACTTACTTTGTCAGAAACAGGAAAGTTGTTCAGATTAACACTGGCTTCAAATTTAGGAGTTATTGGGCTGGCCTGATTATTGAGTTTACCAATATTAAAACTGCAATCCACAACATTATCGGCAGTAGCATTTCTTAATATTTCTATAGGAGTTGACGAAGATCTGATCTGTGATATGGGGGAGAAAAATGAAGATTCTCTATGGATACCTTCTTGCCTCATCAAATTGAATTCTTTTTTCAAATATGGATTGATATTAACCTCATTCCCATAAATAACATTCTTTTTACTTTTGTTAGCTTCGGTTTTCAACTTGAAAATGGGAAAAGGCTTTTCTATGGGAGTCTCCTCTAAGAGGTAGACTCTGCTCATTTTAGGAGTTTCAATAATTTCATTGCAATTCTTGAGAAAAGTATCAAAATTTGTATTGGTCTGTGTACTCTGGTTGACCCTTACAGGATTTGTTTCATACGATGAAAGCAGTTTTGGACTACTAGATTGAGACCGTTTGATTGGCGAAACATCACTTTTATTTAAACAGACATCACTTCCAGACTTTATACCACTGAAATTGAAATCAGACTGGAACAAAATATTGAGATTCGTTATATTGAACGATTCATACATGGATTTTCTATCTCTATTTGATCGATTTCTGTTAACAGGTGTAGTTTTAATTAATATATCATTTTCTGGAAAAAAATTCTGTGGGCTTGGTGTTCTTAACTGGTCTATAACTTCAAGGTTTTCAGCTTTACTCTCTAGAGAATCATTAACATCTTTTAGGTCATAACCCGGAGATACTTGGACTACTGTCTTCATTACATCATTTTCAGAATGTTTTGCTTGCCGTTTCCGATTTTTTCTATTCCTCCTGCGTCTTGGCATTATTTCTTTAATAAAATAAGTGGCCTAATAGGCCTAAAGGTCAAAATGACAAATTTATATAACTAATGAAATGTCAATAAATGAGTAGAAATAATAAAGATGTAAATCTTCAACAGTGTGAGCAGGAACTTCATTAGTTTAATTCTCAAAGAAAAGAAAACCGATATATCTCAGCTACTTTCATAACTGTTTTTGAAATTTAAATTTTTCTAACCCATAACCTGAAATTTGATGATAGTGATTTGAATTTGTAACTGTAACTTAAGTTCAACAAATATACTCATCGAAAGGATAGACGAGTTTTGCTTCTATCGGTATTTTAAATCGGCATAAGATTCTCACAGCTCCGTCGCTCGAAAGTAAATCGTATTCGTATCATGGGACAAAAATCAACGATTCACATAAGTAATAATGTTTATTGGTTACGAAGAATAGGTATAATGATTGTAGTTACTGAGAAATGACGTCAGTGCTATGTTTACACAAAAGGCAACGTAAACGGTACTTACAACTTAGAAATGTTATATATTACGAACCACTCCATTTTAATGGTAAGGTTCAGTGGTACGAACAAAACCCTGAGTTTTGATATGTCCCTGCTCAATTCTTTTTGCACTGTTTATTGAATAATCTGTATCCTAATTGAAAGTAATCTTGGTATAGAGTGAACTGTTCTGTGATTTAAAACAAAAATAATAATAATGATCATCACTTGGATCTCGCATCTGTTTGGTAATCAAAGGAAAAAAATATATTTTTCTATGACGATTGAAAAAAAACCATATAAAGTATGTGACCGTTTCCTGTTAAGTAACCAAAAGAATCCATAACTCACACCTTTAAACGAATCACAGTTGATCAGATTCATAACTCACTACCTTGAGACCATTCACAGATGAGCAAATTCATCACTTTACAGTTGTTTTTGAATCCTTTTCATTCGCAAAGTAAGCCTTGAGAATTTACCTACTTCAAAATTGTTTTCAAACGTCAAAGTTAAACATTGTAGTGACAATTCTCGTTTAAAAAATTAGTTTTAATGAATTCGAAAAGTGAAAACGAATATACTCCTCCAGAAATTAATAATGTGGCGAAAATGACGACTGCAGATCTGTTAAGAAATATATCAAGAAAAAAATATGATATATGATGGAATTGGCCGATACTTGATAAAGTCCATAATTTGTTCAAGTATTACTTTATTGTGAGATTTCCACCAGACAGTTTTCAAAATCGAAACACGTATTCCTATACAATAGCTTTGTCAAGCGTTTCCACATTATGATATTACTATCACATGCTAGGATTCTAGCATGTGATACACACGGAAAACACATTTTTGACAATTATCATCCAGGATATTCTTCACCAATAAATCTTATTTTGAAATATTACTGTTATAAGTATCCAAAAAAGTATTCATTCTACTCTCGAGAAATGGGCATTACTCGCCCGAATGATTGACGATGTTCGCCTTCGACTCGCGTCGACAAACTTCATTCTCACAAGAAGTAATGGACACATTTCTTGCTCGGTAAATAAAATACTATTATTCCATTGTTACTAAGTGTATCAACTTACCCTTCACTCTTTTGTCGAAAGTAAATCAAACATTACGGTAACTGCCTAGCAGTTGATAGCAATGACTTATTCGATTTTTGACCAGTTGTCACTCAAAAATGATAATAAGAAATGTCACTAAAGTCTATACAAAATGTACAAGCTGTGTACCGTATTTTTGCAATATTGACAAAAAATAATACTATCATAAATAATTCTCATAAAACAGAAAAGATATTTTCTGAAAAGACTATACTCATTTCTTATAACTGAAAAATGGTTAGTTGAAGTTCAAATACAGTACTATCAAAGTCCATAATTTTGGAATTATATTATTATACGTGTTAATACATTAGTGATTTCCGATTCTATTATGTTTTGAATTCCTGTATTATTGGTAGACTTCGGGTTGTTTCTCATTGAACCGACATATTTATTGTAAACTCTTCATAGTGTCAACACAACACTAAATAAATTTAACGATTAAAGAAGAGCTGTACTTAGTTATTGTAATATTTGTATTGAATGTTGAAATCTGTTTATCTATTTATATAATAATAATTTCTACCGAACCAATTTTTAATGCGGTCAATGTAAACTGTATCTGGACAATTATAATTCTATTGAATGAATAGTTATCACTTGAATAATTTTGTACTTCTTATCGCAGAAGCGACGAGCAAATATTTTCAGGGTCATAGATGGTAAGGAAAATCAAATACTTCTTTGTCTTTTTCTTGTGGAATATATTTTTCCGTCAACTTGATATCAGAAAATTATAGAATAGACTCCTAAATATAATTTTTTATATATTTTGCCTAATTAAAATTGGAACTATTGAAGAGAACGAAATCTAGGCTAGTAAACCGAGCCTGAGGAATCTATTGTATAGCGAAAAAAGTGTTGTGGTTGTTGCGGTTTTATAAATTGTCCAGTGAAAATTTAACGAAAACATTTTCCTTGAATCAAATTGTCTAGTTATTGTTATATTAAAGAATTCTTGTACTCTGCTAGACACTCTAGAAACGCATAAGAAATGAGGCAAAAAAACAATCAACAAAGAAGAAATTAATGAAATAAAACGCGAATTCTCAAATTCATCAATGAGTCAACGATGGATCCCATGAATTCATTTATTGGTCCATTCGAAAAGTTAGCGCGTTTCTACGTGGTTTCGACGTGGGTGCTTTGTTCACTCACTCAAATTGACTGCCGTGTTGATCGGTGGTTCAAGCCCTAGTCTGAAGGATCGATTTTCACTTGCTATCGTCAACCCGTGTTAGGAATCACACGTTAAAAGGTAAGACCTCGTTAATCCTTAGTTCGCACAAGTTTCAACTTCTGAGGGTTGTCGTTCGTAGGGGTGCGACAGCTGGTTAACGGAAAAACAGATTTTAAAACATATTTCAAATTTCCTGTTGAGTTTGAGAACTCGCCTAAACAAATACGTGACGTCACTGGAGGAAGAACGGTTTCTTTTTTTTCTACTGTGCCTCAGATTATTTTCGTCTAAATCAGTACTATTTCGTAACCACCTATATATGAACCCTTAGCATCATCTTGAGTGATATCTTATCAGTTTTCTTTTTTTATCGACTCTATTGCTGCTGTTCATGTTCATGTCGCCTCTTTTTAGTGAAGGCTTGAGACACCTGTTTTGGGATAGATACCAATCCTTATCAGATTAGTGTCAACCTAAAAATCTCGTCGAGTTGTTAGTGAACTTGAACATAGTAAACTTGGGCTAGTTTGGTGAAAATTGTTAAAAAATATTGACCTAATAACATTCCGAGATGATATCGGAATAATTCCTCGACTGTAATCAAATTATATATCTGATAAGTTTCAAATAATTTCAACTTACCGCTAAAAATGACATAAAACACCTTGAACACAGAATATAGGTCACAGAAACTTGACTCCTCAATATCAAAGTGCCCCTGGATGAGTGTCTCTTCCGTAAGGTATTCTGTGTGTGGCAGGTGATAGCATTAAAGTTTGCATTTGAGGTTTGATCTTCAAAAGTTTTGACAGAAATTTGGTCTCTGAAAATTTTGTTTGTTTTGGGGGACTTTACTCGACATTTAATGTTTGTTTCCCTGTCATTTATAGAGATTGGAGGATTTTTTTGTAAGATTAGGTTTTTTTGTTGGCTAGTTTTTGTTGCTGAAAATAAAAAAGTTGTGATTCTTTTTTAATTGGTTTTATAGCTTCGAGCATGGAGGGTGGATCTCCTGCTCTTAATATCTGTCCTATAGTAGCTTCTAAACTTACTAAAGGGGTGTTCAGTATCATAGTTTCAATGAGATTTTGTTGGGCCTGTTTTTTCTCCTGGAGCAAGCTGTTGTTTTTGGAGGACCGCGTCACCGCGTGTAGTTTCGCGTTGAAGGAATCCTGTTAATGCAGATTAGCGGAACGTCATTGTGCATTTGGAAAATTCTTTGTAAGTCTTGGATTGACCATAACAATGATCTAAAAATAATTTGATTTGTTCCCAAGTTTGTGAATGTCGCGAGAATTTGTTAATTCTGCTGCTTTGCCATTGAGATTATTTTGATGAGTAGAGCGACCAGAATTTTTTTTTGATATTGTACTGCCATGCGCTAAGCCGTACCTATTATACGCACGTATGTATTTTTTGCAAAAGATTTGGTAGCCAATAGACTCCGGGACTTTTGAAAAAAATAAGTTCATTTGTTAACTTCGATCGTGGTTTTTAATGAGTGGCGTGACCAGAATATTTTAATATTGTACTGCCATGCGGTAAGCAGTATTATACGCATATATGAATATGTTGCAAAAGATTTGGTAGCCAATATACTACGGGGCGTTTGAAAGAAATCTGTTAATTTGTAAATTTCAATCGCGAATTCAGCAATGCACATCAAAATTGGTTTTTTTTGTTGCTTACTCGAGAATGTCCTTGAAATGACATCCGGCTTCACTAGCGTGTTTCTGACGAATATAGTATGCGCGTAGTCTTCAACTGTGAAGAGATCGTTCTGCTATATTCCAATGGCTAGGATTTTTAATTATGTCTTCCTTTGAAGGGTTGGGATCTACACTAATAATCAAGGTGCCCTGTGTTCCTAAAGTGTTGGGGAATCCTACAGACTGCGCCAATTTTGTCATATTTCACTTTCGAAAAACAACTTTTTTAATCTATTTTAGTTTCAGGAATTAATAAAATATGTGTGACAAGTTTGACTTGAAACTTGTAACTAATTTGATGTCGCCACGTAGGAGGTATATATAAAAAATATCACGAAAAAGAGTTTGCATGCAGCAAACTCTTGCCTAATATATTTTGCTTCAGTTGCTGCATTTCGTGTAACTTTTTTGTATGGAATAAACGTATTACTCTGAGTTTCTCTTCTCAACGATCCTTCTAAACCACGTCCTGTATCTTTATCTTCACCGTCATATGTACCTAGGGAAAGTAGGAATTTTTAGATCCTGAACTATTCCGTAAAAAATTATGCAAGTAAATGCAGGCCATAACAACAGCTTCTACAGTTTCTGGTTCTAAAATTAATGGTTTTCTAAATATTCTAAAAATCGAAGATAACATTCCAAAAACATTTTCTGATATTCTTCTCGCTCTACTGAGAAGGTAATTAAATATCCTTTTGGGAGACCCTATGTCCTGAGCCCCAGGGTAGGGTTTCAGTAAATTTCGTGATAATGGGAAGGCATCATCCCCTAAAAATACGTGACGGACTAATTTCTCACGTCCTGGTAAAGAGCTATATTCTGGAAGGTTGAGTTTGCAGCGAGTTAATAGTTTTTTGAATAATGTATTTTCGAAAACTCCTCCATCAGATATTCTCCCTTGGGAGCCTACATGAAAATACAAAAATCGGTAATTAGCATCCATTACGCCGAACATAACGATGCTAAAAAACGATTTGTATTTGAAGAAATCACTTCCACTGTTTTTTGGTGCTTTTGGTATTGCAATATGCTTGCCATCCATGACGCCTACAAATTTTGGAAAATTCCAAAGAACACTGAAACCATTAGTAATTGTTTCCCATTCTTGAGCAGTTTTAGGCATCTGAAATACAAAGATATCCATTACTTATGCTAAAAATGTAGATCACTGTAATAACATTTTATACAATGTATTTTTCTTTTCAGGATGACCTTAATGACTCTCTGAAACTGACTTAGATTATTCACAAGTAACAGACTGTGATGAATGTGGAAATGAGATCCAAGAATTTCAAGATGTAGAAAATGGCAACCAAGGCATGGAAGACTTGTCTAACGATGGTTCTCAAAAGCCATCAACATCTAACGCTGCTTGTCAGGAGCCTTCGACATCTAACAAAACCTCTCAAGAGCCTCGTCAGGAAACCGTGGAAAATCAGAACAGCACAAATCTTGATGACTTCAAACACCCTGATAAAACTAGACGTGACACACAAACACAAAAAAAATTGATGATAACGCTCGAAAAGAAGAGGCGAAGAGGCGACAGCGAGACGAATTCGATGGCGTGTAAAATTAGGGATTTGAATACCATCTGCGCTCAAAATATTGTAAAACATCTTATGGGTAATACTTTGTTCGATGCAAGTATGGGTAAATATGATTATGGAATGCCACAATCAAATAACACATATGAGCCAATTTTATCAATGCAACCTTTCACGAGACCACAATCACATTCATCGTATTGCAGCACACCAGCTACATCACCAGCGGAGACATACATACAAAACTCTTCAGACTCCTCTACTGCTTTTGGTTCTTCAAACATTATCGCAGAGGCATTTCAATTAAGTAACATGTAAAAGTTCTAAATTTATCAATAAAAAAGTACCTACAATAAAATTTACTTACCTTAACTTGGTATTTAATTGCGTTTACTAGCGCATCACATACATCTGGTACTATCTTTGAGATAGCTTGTTTCGAAATCTTAAATAAATACATCAAGCTGCTGTAGGAATCTCCATTTGCCAGAAGGCGCAATGTTACAGCTAATCGTTCTTGTGTAGGTATAGCCTTTCTACAGTTTGTATCTGCTTTTCTAATCAATGATGCAATTTTTTGCAGCAAAAATTCCATATCTGAACTACTCATGCGCAAAAATTTTTGAAGCATCCATCGGTTCGAAGTTCTAATAAAACGTCATTTTTCTTTAAATCCGATAATAATTCCTGTACACCATATTCTTCCTCCATCATGATGTCACAAAACTACAACAGTGTGCACAGAATGTTGTACTCAACTGAATTTGAGATTCGACAAGTGCAAACAATCATTAACATTGTTGCACTAGTGAGGACAGTTTGTTTCATGTTAAAGTTTAATGAATTAAACATTTAGCAACTTGTTGCAACATAAAATTGCTACAAGTTGCCAAATGTTGCTCCAGTGTGGACGTACCTTCATGCTTCTGAATTGTTGAAAGAAACTGATAAAAGAATGCTGAACTCTACCGATGACAACAGAGCTAATTCAAAGGATTAGTATCGCCATTCAAAGAGGAGAGGCCACATCGGTATTGGATACTCTTCCATCTACCTCTTACCCTGTTACTTTCCATGATTTTGAAAACATGAAAATAAACTGAATTTTTCAAAATTTCTTCATACACTGATACTTTGATTGTTATACGTTGGATGAAATCCTCATCGCATAGGTGGAAATCATTCGACAGTAACAGAGAACTTGCCGCCAATTGTGCAATACGTGGTCTTCTCCCTCCGGAAATTATCAACTGAAATGAATGATTTCAAGGCCCGTCTTGTTTTCGAAAAATCAGTTCGGGTCCATCGTAGTTAATGGCTCAACTTCTCTCTCTCTCTGATGCAAAGAGAGCATCTGTTGAGTATCAATGTACGTGGACTGTATTTCCTATGGTATGAATTTGATTGTTGTCCTGTTGTGTGATTTTGGTAAATAGAGAGTTAGTATCTGATGAAGAAAGAAAACTCACACTTGTTGCACTCGATTCCGATAACTTTGTTGTTTCCGTCATTGATAAATGATCACCGCTTTTTACAGTCAAATGCATTTTCAGTTATGTATTACGCTTCATTTATAATTGCCTTAACACTCCAGCGCGAAATTTTCACTATAAACTATTCGGAAAACATACTTACCCCCCAACTGAAACGCAACTTACAAGTTTGCAACCCAATGGTGTCAAAACTATATTGCCTCCCAAAAATCCACAAACCGGGAAAATCAATGCGCTCCATCGTGTCAGCTATTGGATCTCCTACCTACCAAATTGCAAACTGGCTCACTAAGGAATTTGAAGGCTTGTCTATTGCGGAACCAGGTTTTAGTATAGAAAACTCTATAGAGTCCATACAACATACAAAAAACATCGTTCTGCAAGAAGGTGAGATTTTGGTTTCTTTTGATGTTAGTTCCACATTTCCTAGTTCCACAGTTACAATACCTCGGAGAATAACTAGAGAAAAATAATTTCAATAATAACGAAATTGATGAATTCGTTTCTCTCATTAATTTGTATATGAAACAAAACCGGTTCCAAGTAGAAGGATGCTCTTATGAACAGGAGAGAACGGCTATGGGTAACCCCTTGTCCCCCTACGTGACAAACCTGTTCATGAGCAGATTCGAAGTGGAAACCAAAGAAAAGTTACCTAAAATATGTTCCTATGATATGGGCAAGCTTGTGGATGATATTTTCGTAATATTCGATAACAAAAAATCGAATATGGAGGACTTTGTTTCCTTTTTAAATAAAATCAATAAAATTCACATATGAGTTAGAAAATAAAGAACAACTTCCATTTCTTGACGTTTTGGTAAAGAAAAGCAAATATGGTGTGCTAGAATACGATATATTTAGAAAATAAACAAGCACGTACAGGTATATTCTTGACAGTTCACATCACTGTGGACAACACAAACGTGCTGGGTTGAATTTTCTAGTGCATCGTCTTTTGACTTTTCCTCTAACACATGAGAGGTTCACAAAAGAAAGACGTACAATACAGGAAATAGCAGCCACTAACGGCTTCTAGATGGACATTGTAGATGACATAATAAGGAAGAAGAAGTTTAGGTTGAGAATGAACGAAATCTCGACTTTTAGAAAGGACAAAAACCATAATAAATAAATATATCTCAGTTCCATACCACCAATACACGAAGAACTTTGGAAAGATTTTCAAGAAAGTAGGTATGAAAGTGGTTTTCAAAACAAGTCATACACTACAGAGCCTTTTATTAAGTCCAAAAGACAAAGTCGAGAATTCGGAAAAGGCTAGATATTACAGACAAAAAGAATTGTTAAAATAAGATATAAGAAACACTAATCACACTTAAAATATGGAAGACCTGAAAAACCATCAGTCGCTCATCATATTTTGCAACGGAACCATTCCAGAGACTTCAGTTCATTAAGATTAGTTTTAACAACAGGCATCTAGATGCCTATGAGAGTTTAGAAATAAGTAAAAATACCTAATAATATTGTGAATAACGATGGTGTACCAATACCTAATAGAATAAGACACAGTGTAAAATTAATTTAAGACTAGTAAATAAAGCAATATTGTGAAATTAACTTTATATAGCTTATAAAATTTCAATTATTAGATTTACCTGACTATCACATAAGGACACAATTTAAAATCAATTTAAGACAAGTAAATTAGCAATATTGTGAAAGAATTTAATTTGTCTTTACATTTTAGTTAATTAGTAAATTAGACACAATGTCTTATTACCTCATACACACCTCATTTATCAAATTTTGATTGTTGATTCTGTCTCCATCGTTTTTAATTGGCTTGTCAGACGAACCAAACTCAGTGAGATTTGGATCCAATAACTTGAACATAGTTCTATGTGGTTGTCGTCTTTCGGAATACAAGTTCAAATACATTTTCGATGTCCTAACACTGTTTCTATCGTATATATAATACATTTGTATCATATCTCTTTTTTCTTCATTCGTGAAAGCCATTTTTGGCCAAAAATTCAATGACTTGTACAATAACAAAATGTCTTTGAGTGTAACAAATTGAAAGTCAAATTTAGAAACATCAAAGTCAAAGCCTATTATGGTAAGAATTATTATTTTTTTCAATATCTCCCATTTTTCTAAAAAGAATGATAACTTATGATACATCATTGAAAAGGTAAATCTGGTTCTATTCAAAACAGAAAGAATACAATGTAGCGCCCATGAGAAAAAATAAAGTTGATGGTGGTGGCCGAAAGGCGAAACGTCGGATAGCAAATCTGGAAACACCGTTATGTAGCAGAAAAAAGTGGAATTGTGGAAGTGCAATTTATTTTCGAATTATTCGAAAAATGAAGCCAGAAAAAAATAAAAACAATTTTCCGAAATTTATGTCTTTTCCGAATATCTCCTGATATACTCGGAATTTCAGAACTTTCTCAACGGCATATTATTAATCAGGTAAATGCGCCACTTTGTCCCAATTTAACCTTCTTCGTATCTCTCATAGTTTCCGAGTTCCCAATGGTGAGGATCGAATTTGAAACACCTTGTATGATATCATCTCCTTAAATACTGAAGGTTGCATTGGTAATTTCCCAAATGCCACTTGATACCCCTCTCTACCTACCAATGCAACTTTTAGTATTCACGATGACATCATATACCTAGGTTAGTTTATAACTAGCTCAGAAGATAACACAGTGTGTCGAAACAGCTCTTAGCATTAAATGTTACTATTGTGTAAATTGTGAAGTATTATTTTCACCCTACATTCATTTTAAATGAATTTACACATATTAAAAGCTGAAACTGTAGAACAATTAAATCTAGAGTTTATACAGACAAGTCTGTGCTCCAACGACTCTGTAAATATGTGTTTTAACTCACTTCACTTTAGCTTTTGCCAAAGCTGATTCCGTGGAATGAAATTTGAATTCAATGCCCTCGGACTCCTCTGCCTATTTACAGAATTGAAGAATTTGATTTTTGAACATCAACGTCGACTAGCAATATATCTACGTATCGCTGCAATAAAGGCCTGTCAGATCTGAGGATAATTCTAAGTTTACCTATACCTTTTGTAGAACAAACAAATATAACCGTTATATAACTTGAAATCTCGTAACCTTTCCATGGTTATGTTAAAGGAGCTAATGTAATCCAAAATCAGAATTCAAATATTCCTTCGATAGACTAGAATATTTTGCATGTGTGTCTGGATTTTAAATAAGATGGCACTCTAGTGAGAGGAATCGGCATAATGCATCATAGCGAACATCCTTTTGATCGAATATCGGATGAGAACTTTGAAAAAGCAAAATCATATAACCACCAGACAGAACCCTACAATGCTTTTCTAAAGTTCTCTTGATCTTGGATATCTCTATGCGACATTGTAGACATTTTTTGAAAAGCCACCAGTGCCCAGAAGCCTTTATCGAATCATCTAATATAATATCATTATTTCAGATAAGAAAAATATTATTTGAAGAAACGTGCGTATTTTTATATCGAACGCCTCTTATCAATTACGTATCCAAAACTAGAATGTATATATAGCAATGGTTTACTTAGTATCGCCTAAGAAATGTTCCGGTTTCAAATTCTGTGCACTATTCTGAGCTACAAACGCGGAAGTGTTGAAATGTTCATCGGAGTTGAATATTTTTCGTGTGAGACCAGCCACTATGATCGATAAAAACATTAGGTAAATCTGACATAGTTTTGGTCAAATTATTGCCTCAATAATGATCGGTTTACAAGAAACTACAGGTTTCATTTTGAAAGTTATTTCCCCATTAGGTCTTCAGAGTCAGAGATGCATTATTGTCATGGAAGTTTTATTTTGTTGACAAAGCAAAGACTCAAGCACATTTCAAAAAGTCTATAAAAAATTATGTGACAAAAAATTCCTCAGTATTATAGTAAGCTTTATCTAACAGAAGCATTTTTACTCTTTTTGGAAACTGTGTGAAGCAGGTCAACTTTCTGATTGAAAGGGGACTCATTGAACCTAGACCATAATAGTTGCAAAATGCTTGCAGTGAGATCTAATCTATGGAAACATCATGCGGAAATATAGCTGGCCTTCGATCCGGTATCGAGCAAGATTCATACATTTTAATAGTTGTCGCGGATATCTGAAAACTCAGCGATGGCGGTTACGAGTAGAACGGAATGAAACGTTGTACCTACCAAGAAGTCGTATTATTGATGCTGCCATGTCATCTTGCTGTTTATAATTACCAATGTTGTGGCCGAGATAGTTGAATACTGAATACTGGAATGATGGTGTGCATTACAAAACCTGCAAGTGGTTTTTGTTTTACATTTATTCACAATATGCTGGAAACTCAAACAGTTACCACATTTTTTTTGTCTTTGAAAAAATTCAATCTATATCGTGGAGATTTACTGAAATATTCAGGGCATTTATAAATGGAATGTTCACGTGCATGTGACTGTTGGCGATGAAAAATGCCGCTGAAGGTTTTTTTATGTGTTGAAAAGTTTTGAGAATTCTTGCTTTTGCTTGCAGATTACATTTTTGAGAATGGTACCTTGGGGCATGAAAATTCAATGGCATTCAAATCATTACAGCGTTTAAGAACGAAGTTTTTCGGAGATTCAAATGAGTGAATAGTGTTACTGTCGATCCTTTCTTCCAATTCGAAAGTAGTTATAGTTTTTTGAAACTGTGAAAGTATGAATCATCTTAAACTGTGAATATTTTTTGGATTGGTCATCATAAAAGCATTATCTATTTCTTAGAGATGAGCAAAGGCGATTGATTGGTCTTTCATTGTCATACCGTTCCAAAAGTGCGATGGCGTAAGCGGTTGCATAACAATTATCATTATACATCGGAGTTGTGCATTTCTTCAATATCCCCCCTTTATTTCTTGAACGGGTCAACTCAAAAGACTAAAATTTGGGATAATGAAACTAATGCATGAATACTTTATTTTGAAGTGAAATTGACAGATGACATTTTCAAAATGGTGACTGGGCGCCATCTGGGAAAAAAATTAAATGGAAAGGGAGGTCTTGTGACACATCTTTTTGAAGCTCCTGACAAATGCTTCACAACCCTAGAATATAATGTAAATATCTTCAACTACTACAAAATGGCGGAACTTTTAATAATTGCCTGAATACGTTGATATTTAACTACATAATATGAGGTAATAAGTTCAAGATCAGTTCAGAAGATGCTCTTGACATATGAACAGCCTATCCGATATTTCACGTCGAACATTTTCGAACACAGTAACGTCATATCTCCACAAATATTTATTATTCTCTGCCGTATATCCAATATTGAAAAGTAGGTTCAGTTTCGTACACCTTTTGTTTCAAATAGCCCCATGAAAAAAAACCAAAGGTGTCAAATCTGGCAAGCGGCTGGCCATTCTGTAGGACCTCAACGGCCAATCCAACGACCGGGAAAAGTACTACCCAAATAGTTTCTTACTTGTCTGGAGTAATGTGGTGGTGCTCCATCTTGTTGGAACGATGTTGAAATGATGAGAGGGTCAACAATAGTTTCCAGCATATTCAAATACAGTTACCCTGTTAAATTTTGATCAAGAAATAGAGGTCCTACAATATGGTTTCCCAATATTCCTGCCCAAACGTTATTTTTTCTGGATATTGGGTATGTGTTTCCCGGAAAATGTGAGGGTTGATGTCACTCCAATAACGGCAATTTGTCTGTGAACATTGCCGTTTTGAAAAATATACATTCGCCACCAAAACAAATATTGTGGAGATAGGTAGGATACCTTGCAATGATTTCCGTCATGATTTCGCAGACTTCTTTTCTTCGATCAGGGTCATCTTCAGTTAATTGGTGTACCATTTTAATTTTGTATGGGTGGTACCTATTCCTCTTCAAAAGTATCCGCACAGTAGAAGGAAACACCTCACAAATGTTCGCGACCGAGTCGCGATTTACTACAATCTCACCAATTATTTGCACTTGCCGTTCTTCCGGAATGGACGGATAACTGGGGGGCTATTTGTTATGTACACTACCGGTAGTTGTGAATTTGGATACAAGTTCCCTCAAATATTTTCTACAGATAGGACGATTCGGAAAACGTTCATTGAAAATCCTTTCGGTCTCGTGAAAGTTATGCGTCGCACCGTAAATAAAAATCGCTTCAATTTTTTCTTCCAATGGACGAGAATTGACCATTTTAGAGATTGTTGACGTGGTATCTTTCTACTGGTAGAATCGAAAACTAAACGAGAATATTCTAACTGAACAATGATGTTCATTGTCGTACTGATATTTTTTGTCGTTTTTATAAACAAAAAATAACTTAACAAACCTTATCGGGTTGTTGGAATTGCCATATGACAGATAAAAGGAATATTTGTACATATATCAATACTAATGTCTTCAGGAAATTACACTGCCTTTGAAGCAAATTCCTCCAGTGAAAAGTAAATATAAATTTTTTTGTGATTTGAGAAATGAATGAAGAGATAAGCGAAATGAATTTCGATGAGTAAAGGATATTGAAAGAATATTAATGAAAATAAATTATGTGATTTATTTTATAATGCAAATGTTCCGCCATTTTGTAGTAGGTGAAGATATTGACTTCAATTTCTTCAAAATTATGTGTCACAAAACCCCCCTTTCCATTTAATTTTCTCCCACAAGACGCCCAGTCGCCATCTTGAAAGTTTCATCTGTCAATTTCACTTCAAAATAAAGTATTCATGCATTAATTTCATAATCCAAATTTCAATTTTTAGAGTTGACCCGTTCAAAAAATTAAAGGGGTGGGACATGTATAACTACATTTTTCCATGTTAAAAAGATCATCATTTGTATGAATTGATGTTTCGAACATATCCCGAAATGATCTGAAGTTCTCAATATCCCCGGTAAATTTTGGTATTTCTACCTTTGGCCTTTGGGAGTCTAATATTATTGTTACTATTTCTTGTTGATATTGATCTGTTGAGGTCAGGCGGATTACCATTTTCAAACAAGCTATGAAAAACGGCCTTAGCGAAGGAAACATTAAACTCAACTCCCTACGTACTGCCTTGTCTATCGTTGGAACATCCTCAGTAAGAGAAGTCAAAGCTATGAAACTCAAGTAATTTTCTTAATACATCACGAATTGAACCTAGATGGAGATGAACCATTTTAAATTGTAAGAGCGAAATAGTATCGTCCACTGCCTTCGAAGCAAATTTTAAGGGGCCAATGTCCTCCACTGTAAAGTAAATATATTTTTTTTTGTGATTTGAGAAATGAATGAAGAGATAAGCGAAATGAATTTCGATGAGCAAAGGATATTAAAAGAATATTAATGAAAATAAATTATGTGATTTATTTTATAATGCAAGACATCCTTGGCTCGAATTGGAAAAAATGTTTCTTATTAAGCAAAAAAAAGGTGAAAAGCAATAGAAGATAAATCGAAAATTTACTGACCTGGTTTCCATATTCTGCAGGTTCTAGATGGAAACTTCCAATGTTGTTTCCAATGTCTACGTGAAAAACACTCCAGAGAGGTTTTCACTATGAACTTTGCGGAAAAAGGTTAACAGAATATAATAATTGCGAGCTAGTTTCAAAATTGGTTTATATAACATTCATCCATGCAACTTAACCATCTCTTGTCTTCACGCATGAGTTTAATCACATAAAATTAAAAAATACATAAAGAGCAAGAAGCAAACACAAAAATTAGATGAAACATCCCTAAACCCATGAATTGAAACATAAATTGACCATTTCCCAATTTTCTCAGAAGATGAAGAGAAATATCAATAAGTTCTGGATTTATCATCTTCCCTCAAATTCAAAAGGTCTGCCATATATGTATCCAATTCAGTTTCAAGACAGTACACATCGAATTCCTTATCCCCCTGGTCCAATGATCGGGAGAATCATAGCATCCGTGATTACTCAGAAGAAAACAGTAGTGAAAAACGTAGGATCAATAGTTACAACTTCAGATCAGTGATACATTCCTCAATCAAAACCCTTGGGCTTAATGGGTTGAAAAATATTGGCAACAATATTTTGGCAAATATGATATTTTATAAAAGAATGATGATTTTGTTTGTTTTATATTCAATTAAGGCAGGCAGGTTTGTGAATAAATTGTTTATTTGCAATCTGTTATTGTATTGAAAATAATACACTGCAAAAATTGTCTCATTTCACAAAACAATAACAAATTTTATAAAAACAGTAAACAAATCAATATGTTCAACAAATGGATATGTGAACTTGCCTAGTCATAGAATGGAAATTTTCTCTGATGGTTAACTTATCTGGTTTTGAAAATTCTAAGTAGCACCTATAAACTGTCTGCAACAGTTACCTAGTTGTAGTATGTTGTGCGTAATAGAATGTTTCTTTGCAGTTATCCATATTTTGCCAAATTTATAGTTACCTAGTTGTAGTACTCACCTCAGAGCAAAGAGTAGGGTGAGTATACCTATATTATATATTCTCTGCTTCAGTATATAAATAAGTTTCTTATTTTGAGTACTCAACATGAATAGCTCGATTTCAATCTTCAATATTAGTGCAGTAAATTTTAACACATGTAGGTACATTTATCAATCAGCTATTTCTTTCTTTTTTCCGAAATTTCGTCAAAATTGTAAGAAAAACTTTACAATCTATGATTTACTTCCACAACTCACTTCATCATTACTGAAACTTATTATCATGTGTTATTTTTTTTCTTTGGGAGGGTACATATTATCTATTGTTATACATTTCCAAAGACTTGTCTAAGGCCCTTACTCTGTTCCACGAAATATAGTGTGACAACTTCAGTAATTGATTTGTTTTTGAAACCAAACTGTTCTTTAATTATAACACGGAGTGCTTACTTAAAACTTGTTTTTAATATCAAATGTGAAATATGTTCTTGATATGATTTTGATGAGGTTTTCAGAAACCATAACATGGAAGACACTATAGGAATAAGCAAGACCAGGTAACTGCCCAATAGAACACACTAAAAAAAATGCTTTAACATAAAAGAGAACAGTTCGTGAACTAATGGAGAATGATACATTTAACTAAATATATTTGATATATTATTATTATCTTTATTGTTTATTTTTGCAAATTCATATTCCTAGGTGTACATAACTGTTCTGTCTTTCTCTACTTCACCTTCTACAGTATGCTTATTTATCAGATGAGACTGAAGCCGATATTCCGTACAAAATAGCTCAAAACATTCTCCACACTGGTACTTCATTGCAGGAGCATAACATTGCATATGTGCATCTAGTTCTTCTTCACTGTCCATGATTTTGCAACAATCATTGCGTCTAAAATAATATGAAAGTTCAGAGAAGTACTGAACAGGTTATTTCGCAAAAATACTGATTCAAAGAAAGATGTGTCTCAGGGTGCTTCTTATTTTGGTCTAATTTTGCTACCGACTTTAAACAATGCTTACAGGTTAATAGTCCTACACCAGGATTTGACCATTGACAATCATTTTGACCATAACCTGCTGTTGTAAAAAAGCTCAATCAACTGAAAATTAAATATTCTAATGGTCCACTTTCTACATGAAATGCAATTTCCTTCGGAACTCAAAAATGACACCTCAAACAAAGATATTGGTTGCAGAATGCTCACAAAGCAATAGCATACCTGCAATAAGTCTTGATTAAAGAATAGTTAACCATTTTTGTTAAGAATATCACTGAGTTCTATCCCAACACCAAACCGTTATTTTCAACACCTCGACACGTGTTTCACCCCAAGAGATCATCTTCAAGAGGAAGATTAAACTTCCCCTTGAAGATGATCAGTTTATTCTTCCTCTTGATTATTGAAACACGTGTCGAGGTGTTAAAAATAGCGGTTTGGTGTAAAATTCATTACTACACCAAAAGTTCCAAATAGTGCATCACAAGTACATTTTTGTTGTGTTTGAATTCATTTGAGCCCAAAGTGTCTTGAGTCTAAGATGAGTCGGGTCAGCATAGTGAAATTGGCAACTGTAAGAATACAAAGTTGATTAATGTATGAAAAAGTTGCACATTTTAGAGCTTGATCAAGTGACATTTTTAAATTTAGGAAATTCCGATTATGTAAAATACATCAGTGAAATTATCGCCAAAAGGGCTCATTTAAATACAGGTGATTATTTTCATATACGCCATTTTGTACTGCTTGAAAAGTGACGATGTGGAAGTGTCTTTTTTTATTGAAATCTTTTCCCTAATTTAAGCGACTTTGTATCTTCCACTGTTTCCGATTTTCTCATGCTGGTTCTACTTATTCTAAATAGAGAGTATATTGAAATACTGGAAGAAACAATGAATAATGAATCTTTCAAAATCACTTTTTACACAACAGAACAAAAATGCTCATGGATGGAGCTAAACTATTCTATAAAATTATAATTACCTACCAATAAATCAGTATATGAGTAAATTAGTCTCAACTTTCTCAGTGAATATGTGTCTGAGTTTTTTATAATCTATGATATATATATTTTAATATTTATTTATACATCATATTTTTACAATTTCAACCATCTATGTATGTATCAAATCACAATGTATCACATTGTAATTTGATATAAAGAAAATTTGAAGATCAAAATAGTCAATAAACTTGACTAACGTACTTCACCGATTAAAAAAAAACTATAACGTTGATGGTAAATATTATTGTGTTAACTATTATAAAGAGAAAGCACGTTTAAATTAAAAAACTTTTCATAACTTACTCTTTCCTGGATTACGCCCCCTTCGCTTTTTAGGTCTTTTACGCATTATATTCCTTTTTAGTTCTTTCCTGTTCTCTAAATCATGCCATTTAGCATGATGTTTAAAGAGGACTATATTTGTGAAGCTACTGTCACATTTGGCACATTTGAACTCGGTTTCGTTAGGATGCTCTAAACTGAAAATCCAGATACATTAAAATTTTATTAATCACGCATTGATATTTGAGCTTTGGTTACACAGGCTGGGTAGCCGTGGTCTAATGAAGAGATTAACTCTGAACGTGTTTCTCCCATAACTACGGTGGGAATCCTCAGTGGTAATTGGCGGCAATGTATTATGACCTCCTCAGTGGTAATTGGCGGCAATGTATTATGACCTCCTCATTGGTAGACTCATTAACGAGTCTATCAACAAGGAGTTCACAACATATTGGTGCCAACCACCACCGAAGATGCCTATAGATGCCCCAAATATGAATAATGTCGGTAAGGGCATAATACAATTTTTTTCAATTGGTTGCCTAAAGCTTAGATGATAAAGTCCTCCTGTTAATATTATCGAAGAATAATAGCGCCTATCTCTAATACTGCACATCTCTTAATTCCGGTAATGCAGTTTACTGTAAGAATGTTGTATGAGTATGTCAATCACTAGCAACGCTGTTATGGCTGTAAGCTGTAGTAGTTGTCTGATGTCTGTTTTCTGGGTTAAATAAAATTCTTCACAACACATTTTTCTTGCCTATAATTCAATATAATTAATACTAACTCTAACACCTCCTATATGTTTTATTATATATGATGGAATTGGCCGATACTTCATGAAAATTCATAACGTATTTAAAAAAAACACTTTTTTTGACATTTATACTGAACAGTTTTACAAAAACGCGACACGTGTTTCGCCATGTCATTTATAACCGGTCCACCGGTCTAATCGGTGAAGTCGTTTGTAACGGCCCTACCGTAAAAATATCAGAAATCCTTATAAAATTAATTCAAACCTATACCAATTTCAAGCCGGGATTGAGTATAAATAATATTCAAAAATTAGTGAATAATATTAAAAACATAATTATTCCTAAAAAGGCAAAATTAATATCGTTTGACGCCCAATATTTATTTACCAGTATTCCGCCAATTGAAACTATTGAACTGGTTGAGCGACTCTTAGTTATTTTCGAATATCAAATACGTGAATGTATAAATCGACATGCTCTAAAGCATCTGACAATGTTAACTATGAAATTCTCGAAAAGAAATTACAAAGATTTGGTGTCTGAACACTTAATGTTTTGTTCAGTTTCTTCGTGAAAATACGTATTAACAAGTCGAATGTAATAAATTCGTTCCTGATTCATTGCTCGTTACTTCAGAAGTATATCAAGGATTGATACTGGGACCTTCAATATTTTTAATATATACAAATGAAATTTTAGAAGAGATGATATTGGTTACTACTCGATTAAATGCATATGCCTAAGATACCAATTTTCTATTCATGAATGATGATTATCCCGTTATTTAAGAAACTTTGAGAATATTTATGCTCTGGCTGCTTTTGTTTGGTGGCTGGGTCTTCGATAAACCTTATTTTAGAAAAACTTGAGTTTTTTTTAATTAAGAATTTTTTTGAATTCTTTTCCGGGGGCACTAGGTACCCAGCTTTTTTTTCCAAAGTGAAAAATATGAAGAACACTTTCACCAAATTCCAAAAAATGAAAGTTTATTGTGAAGTTTTTTTTTTCATAAAATATGTATATTCAAAATATATATTACAGGCTTTGTACCAAGGTCAGAGCTCTTTTGAAATGTTCAATTTTTACGTTACATGATTACATTGATGCCAGAAATTAATCTGAGCAAATGTGCTTGAAGGTAGGGAATGGGCAAATAAGAATTACAACACTGAATAATCTCAACTTATAACTATTCAAGCAATAACTCTGAATAATATTGGGGTAATTTTTCTGAATTCACAATATTCTAATACAATTGTAGGACTTTTTTAATGTTATTTGAAATGGTATGCACAAGTTAACAGTTAGTCTTAAACTAATGTAACTGTAACCAATGTTACTGTTGATAATGTATACTTTAGCTGTATCCGTTCAAAATATATATCAAATATTTTACAAAAAAAATTATCCCTATTTTAGCTGGAGTTGGACTTTCACTGTCCTGAGGAGATCATTTCAAAAAACTATTCATTCTCAGAATCATTTCGATATATACAAAATTAATATTTCTTTGAAACAGAAATGGCTTGTCCTTGTCATGAGGATAGAAATAGATCTAGATTATTATCATCTGATACTACTCTTATATGAGCTCTTTTTAATAATGGCTATAGACTGTTCAATATTCTTTTTAGGTCTCTACAGAACTCAAAAAACGTTTTTCCTCAGAAACGAAATAAAGAAGTTTTCTCAATTGAGTTATTTTACAAAAATTGTTTATTTTTTTCATCTTATTTATTAAATTTTGTGTTAAGTTTCACCTATATTACATTAGCTCACTTTACAATGTCTGTCAATTATGATTAACAGGAGTGTTTTGGTTTTTTTGAGAAAGCAAAGGAAGCGACATCTCCTCTTATAATAATAATAAATTTATTTCAAATAGGCATCCTAATATACAAAAACAACTTCATAACAGAAAATATGTATGCTCGGAATTATCCAAGCATTCAATAAATAGGAAAACTAACAATGTAAATTACAAATACTAGATGTATGTGTTATTATAATATCAACATTAATGTGGATGTTGTATCCTCAAATGACTAGTGAGTCCTTTTTTGAATGTCACAATAGATTCACTTTGTTTTATCTCAAGCGGGAGATTATTGTAGTCCAATAGTCCTTTATGGAATAAGGAGTTCATGGATCGAGTAAAATTCAAACGTGGTATATATAAATTAGAATTCCCCCTAGTGGGGTAATTATGAATTTGGTGATGTGACAATATTTTGAAGATGAATACCATGGAATACCAGTCTTTTACAGAAAGCCAATCCAGAACTTCCAACATTGTTGTAGTTGGCGTAGATCTATTACATCTTAAAATTAGGCGCATGCCTCTATTCTGTAGTTTTTGCAATGTAGACAAACAATTTGCCCCAAGTTGTGATATTAAAGTAGCGTGGTTAAATGATTGATTTGAAAACAGTTGTCGAAGTTTGAAACGGTAAGCAACTGTTTACGCACAGCCAAAGAAAAATAGTTTTTTTTTCATTGTTTCATTGGGGATATAATTGAAATGTTTTTTCATATTCAGTGTTTGATCCACGATGAACCCCAAATATTTGAATACCTCGACAATTTCAATTTTTTTATTGTAAATATTTATACTTATACCTAGATGTTTTGTCAAATGAATTATGTTTATGTTTTGTTGTAATTATCATTGCTTTCCTTTTATTGACATTGAGCTTGAGTTTATTAATGTTGAAGAATTCAGATATTTTGATCATAATATCATTAATTTTATTGATAGCTGTTTGTAATTCAGGTTCACTCACTGCAATCAGAGTATCATCCGCAAATAGGCTGATAAATTCACATCCATTAATGAAGGTGATGTCATTAATGTAAAGAACGAACAGAAGCGAGCCCAAGACACTACCTTGATGTACACCATTATTGACACCTTTTAGGCTTGAATATGTCCTGCTAATTTTAGTCTGTTGAGTTCGACCAGAGAGGTAGCTTTGAAACCATTCAAGTACTGAACCAAAAATTCCATAATATTTGACTTTTTTTAGTACGATATTACCGTCAATTATCTCAAATGCCATTTTGAAGTCTAGAAACACTGCCGCTATATATTTATTATCATCAACAACAAGTTTCCATTTGAATATTGAAACTTGTAATGCTGTTTCACATGTGTGTTTAGATCGAAAACCGGATTGGTTCATCATAATCAGTTTATTACTTTCTATGTAATCAATCAATTGTTCATATACCGCCATCTCAATCATTTTTTCAATGGGAAATAAAGTATTTATCAGACGAAAGTTGATGACTTCATTAGTATTATTGATTTTTGGTACAGGAATTACTCTATTTTTTAGTTTTTGCGGTACTTTGCCAGATCTGAGTGATGTATTTACCAAATTTAATAATACTCTACCGACTGCTGCAAACATACTTTCAAATACTTTGTTGTTTATATAATTGGAGTTACATTTGTTATCAAAGATTCTAATAATAGTTTTAAGTTCTGACATTGATAATAATCTAAATTTAGTTAAAATTAATAGGTGGGAGATTATTGTTAGTCCAAAGGGAAGAATGGGGAATGGTGTTCTTAATGTCTACAATACTATCAAAGAAGAAACAATGGAACTTCTCCGCCTTCTCTATATCATGGGTGACTTGACAGACTCCTTGAGCTGCTGGAAATAATATTGTGTGTGGAAGTGAATCGGTTTTCTGTTTGACTAACGTCTTTATGGTTTTCCACATTTCTTTCGAGTCCTTCAAGCAATTATTGATTTTATCAGTATAATAATTAGTCTTTTTCAATTTCAGTAAATTAATAACTTCATTTCTGCAACTTTTATAAATAACCCATTTGAGTTGTTTGTCAACTTCAGTGGAATATGTTTCAAAGTCTTTATATGCACTATCTCTACATTTGGTTAACTCTAACTTCATTATCATACCAAGGAAGTTGACCTTCTCTCAAGTTGAAAGTTTTCATAGGAGGAGTGGTATCAATATTTCTTTTCAAATGTTAATCAATGTTGGAATATATCACATCAACGTCTGCAGAATTCAGATCCCAATTACAGTTTAATGCATTGAGATATTTGCTGAAGTTTCTGAAGTATTTTGTTTTGCTGCTACTAAAATTATAATAGGCTTTAATTGAAATGGTGATGATATTGTGATCAGTAATTTTAGGGGTATCATGAACTATTGATGAAGCATAAGCTGTATTACTTAGTACATAGTCGATTAAAGTGCTACTATTATTTGTAACTCTGGTGGGATCTTTGACCGTCTGCTTAATTCCCAACGAAGTAATATAGTTTTTAAATTGACTAACATTTCTATTATTATCAACTAGAAAATGGATGAAAAATTTATGATGAAAAATTTATGAAGACGACATCTATGGGATCGAAAGAGAACTCAAACTTCGAATATCAAAGATGAACGGGGCTCCCCAAGGCGATCAATTGCAAAGCCAACACATAACAACAAACAGAAGACAGAGGACAAATCTCGTCGGTAGTCGATATCGAAGCTTGGCTTTGCAACTGTCCGCCTTGGGGGAGCCTCGTTTATCTTTGATATCAGATGATTGACTTCTCTGTCGATCCTATTGATGGCGTCTTTGTGAGGGGAGATGTCGTCGCCCTTATTTTCTCAGGCTTGTTTTTTAAGGACAGTGAGTCCGGCAATGCATTTGTGGTTCAGCCTAACACCACTGATGAGACCTATGACGGGTCGAAATAGTGCTGTGCGGTGTTGAATCATGAATGCGTTTTGTTTTTCCTCTGATTCACAACTGATTCTTTTTTGTTTGGTGATTTCTATGGAACATATTCAATGTAAATGACCTACATAAATCTGTAAAAAAGAAATATGCTCACGCTCTTCTTGAATTTTTTTAGATTTTCACCAAGCACAACAGAAGCTATCAATATGCCTACTTACTCATAATGACTTTCAATAGTGTATTCAGTGAAAATTTTGTGACATCTTTCACAAACAATTCTTGTGGTCATATGATATGACTGTTCATGTCTTTCGAGTCTGGTTTTGCTAATGAAAGATTTGGGACACAGAGAGCATTTTACTTTCTTGTTCTTAATTTCTTTGTGAACATTCATATGCTGTGCTAAATGAGAGAAAACCTTGCCTGAAAAAAACAATAATTTTAAAAATATATAGGTACCTCACAGTTGTAGACAAAAATCAATTTGAAGAATTATGAATTGAAAATCTATTCTATATGAATATCACTTTTATCTTTGAAGTAAGATGATAAAATAAAATTAAATAAATCAAATAATTCAAATCAATGTAGATATTTTCTTGTAACTTTTCATATTTTTTTCCTTGGGAGTCGATATGAAAATGAATGAGGATATAAAAATCTAGTCTGTTGTTCAAGTTCACTCATTTATTTATTCACGAACGCATGCTCAATGAAATATACAAGAATTTAATTGAAACAATCATGTCACATTCTTTCAACCAATATCACAAGTTTACCCTTTGAGGCTGATAAATCCATATACATATCTTCTTCTAGGTTTGAAATTTATATGTTTTTTTAATCAATTAATTGTTTTCCCAAACCAAAACAGTATTGAAAATAGTTAATTTCTAGTTTTTCACATGGAAATCTAAATATGTTTCACTATATGATCGCTTGTTCAGATGAAAAAGTAATTATATATAGCATTGATCGTTACACCTGAAGGAGCTGAAAAGTGTTGCCGTATAATAAACATTATTTACAATATTATCTCAAAAAGTGTACAAGTTATATTTTTAGTAGGCAAATAGCAAGTTTTTTTAGTTGAGAAGTTTACAATCAATAATACTCACCACATAAAGGGCACAGGCTACCTTTCTTCTGATGATTATATTCATGGCTACATAGTACAGTTCTATTAGGACACATTTTTCCGCAAATTGAACATGGGAGTTCGTGAGTTTTGACATGATTTTGGAAAGAACTCAAACTGAACCTACAAAACCAGTAAAATTATTATAAACTTATTCAAATAACGTAGTATTAAATGATTCACCGTTTCATAAATGGAAGTCATAGTCAAAAAGTGAATCTGCGTTTCAAATGCCATCAAGTGTAGCGTTTTCAGCATAAGTTCATTGGAGTTATTGTGCCACAACTCAATATAATTATCATATCTCGGTTCAGTATTTTTATTAGTAATACAGTTATTTTAAGATTGTTTTCAAAAAAATTAAATCAGAAAGTGAAATTCCAGATATATCCATTATTTAACATCTCATGCAGTTGGGTGGACGAAAGAATGTGCATACGTTTTCAATTTTTGTATGCGGTATAAGTCCACAAACTGGTCCAAATTAATAAAAACGAAATAATGTGGATACTAGTCTTAACCGAAACTTTTTAGGAATCGTCCATTATTCGCGTGGGGCTTGAAAGGGAAAAAATCACAAAATATCACAGGGGGGAAAGAGGTGTAGCGAGATAATATAATAATGCCGTAGAATTACGCTGACTTGAATTACAGCTGACTTGCAAAATGCTTCTCCACTTGTTAGTGTTGAAGAAAGAAGATTATAATTGCATTTAAAAATGATATTCTGAAAAGTTTCAAAAAATGTACATGTAGTTTTGGGTAAGAGGGGTAGTCCAAAACTTCACCATGCATAAGGTGATTTTGTGTATAAAATATTAGGTGAGAAGGGGTTGGTCTAAACCCTCATCATGGATCGCCAAGGGTGAGGGGGTAAAAATTTGCTAAAAATATCACGTGATTAATGGACGTCCCCCTTGAACAATTGCTTTTATTTTTGAAATTCACTGATAGTGAAACCCAAGGTTACGATTTTTGGTCAATTTCATGAAATGTGTCTGTTTCATTTTTTCAATTCCGATATCTGGCAAATTTGAGATTGAAATTTATAATTATGATATCAACAGTTATGGAGTTAGTTGAAACAAAAATAATGTCAAAAATTAAATAAAACTGAAGAAATAAAATAGAAAACAAGAATTGTAAAGACGCTAATTTGTAAACAAATTATGATGTCCTGAACTTAAACTAGACTGATAAAAGTGTTAATCAATAAGTGAAATATCAATTATATACAAACAAAAAAAAATAAAAGTAATGAAATAATCACAATGAAATATGAATATGGATGATTATAAATACAAAAAAATTAAAATGAGGCGAAAAAATAATAGAATGTTTCAGTTTAGTTATTCTCAGTATTTTTAATGACTTTAATACTTCAATCATTTCAACTTTATTATTATTCCACAGACTTCAAACAATCTGTAACATTCATTTAAAAATTAACTTAACGAAAACACTACCAGTTCCAAATATTTTTCCCAAAATAATAAAATTGTCCAAATCATCTCATAAATCATTTTCATCTTTTAATTTTGACATTTTTTATGAATTAGGTGAGGCTTTTGTGGTCAAATTCCTTCGTATTGCATCTTCAAAAGTTCTTTTTGTACTCCTGAAGATGACGACCACTCGTGTTGGTGAAACTCACTCAAAATGAATGACGGTCAACAACCCCCATAAATGACAAATACAAACATTTGGTTGTACATAACTGGCGCTATATTTTTGATAAATTTTCTCATCAAGTTGTGAAGGATGAGTAAAAAATGCAATACCTACCTCTTTTTACACTCGATGCACTTTTTGATAACTTCTCTAGAAGGACACTCTTCTTTGTGCAAAAGAAAACTATTCTTAGCCACAAAATGTTTACCGCAAGTTTCACACAAAATACCATAACACAAATGTGATGTGAATTTCATGAAGTTGTCATGCTCTTGTCTGCAGTACAAACATTTGAAGGGATTAGAATCAAGATGTTTATTTGAAGTATGACTTGACAATTCAAGTGGAGTCATCATCTCATCACAGTAAGGACACGGAAACAGGAAACAGGTTATTGAATGAACTTTTTTAATTTCTTCACTTCCAAAGTCTTTTCCACAAGCTTTGCATACATTTGTAGAGCCTGGTATGTGATGATAACAATGTGCCTCCATAAGAAAAGCTTTAGATAGGCCATGAGCAACTTCTAGATGGGCCTGCATTTTTTCTTCCGTAATGAAATGTTCTTCACACAAGAGACACTTAATTTCTGTGTAATTTCCAAGCAAAAGCACGCGTTTGTTTTCAAATATATTCTCATCGAACTTTGAACAACTTTCTATAAGCCTGACTTTACTTCTTTGTAACGAATAAATGAAATCAGGTTGCAAATTCGCAATGGAAACTATGCTATCATGATCACGAACATTAGCGTATTCTAAAGGTAAAAAATTCACGTGTTTCATCACTCCATTGAATAGATCTGATTTTCTGTGAAAGTTTGAGGATTTCTTGTCTTCATCTGTTCTTAATAAATCAGCAATACCATTCAAAACATAATCCTGCTCTTCCACTTTAGGATCGAACTCAAATAGTGAGCCATCTTCGTCACTGACATCATCTTCATCAAAATTGATATCATCATCAAATTCATATTCATCACAATGAAAATCTTCTTTGTAGCATGTTTTTTCAAAATTATTTAATTTAGTTTTTAATTCAGAACGATCTAATTCAGTATTGGTCACTTCCTCTTTCAGTTTATGGGTATCTAAACAATATGAAATGAAATAATTATTGATTAAAAATGGAAGTTTGTCTTGAGGGTTAGTAATGAGAAACAATTATTTGATGTTGTAGGTAGATTTTTAAACGTTTTTTTCCATTGGATATAACTGAGTTTTTGATTTAGCTAGTTGTTGGGATAAGAACCTTTCATTGACAAGAATGTCTTATGTAGTGGTGAGGTTAAGCTGTACAGGTATTGTTGAAAATCATCCCCCGAAAAAAATTAACACTGGCGCCACTGGCGCTGGTGACCGTTCTAGACATTGCGTTGCGCATACCGATATAGGCAAGTTTAAATGACAGTGCGGTACGGAGCGATCTATTAAGGCGATCGATATTCGAATATTAGTTGAAGTTTTAGTTAAAGTCTTTGGTTGTATCAACAGTGAAATAAAGTTGACTTTGATTATTGTACATTGTGGTCAATTATTGGTAAACCCACAGGGAATACGTAACAGTATATTTATTATTATAATATTTATAATAATAATGACAATAAAAAGTTTGTTTTTCTTCAATTGAACACACTATTTCCTGGAGAGGCAGCACTTTTCGGGATTGATCTACAAATGAGAGCATTCCGTGTTCCGGTCAATATAATGTCATCAAGATAGACCAGACATGTTTTCCATCAAACGTTCAAATGTTGCGGGTGCTTTGCATATTCCATGCATATACTTGAACTGATATAATCCACTGCTGGTAAAAAAGGGAGTCTTCTGTTTATCCTCAAGGCAAACAACTGCCTGATAATATACGCATTTTAGATCTTAATGCTGAGAATCACCTGAAATCAGTCAAGGTGTTCAAGGTATCATCTATTCTGGGAAGAGGGCAACTGTCCTTTCTGGCCTTCTGTAAACTATGCAGAATCACGTCGATTCATCTTTCTTAGTCGCTAAGACTACAGGTGACGACCAGGGACTGATTGATTCTTTGATCACTCCTACCTCCAACGATGGATGAAGCTTCCTCATGCTTTGAGAATGACAATCGTCTCGGTGGTTGACGTATGGGCTTGGCATCGCCAGTATTGATCCGATGTTGAATTAACTTCGTTCGACCAATGATTTTGCCCTTCACAAACATATCGTTAACTTCCTCTACGAACTGTGTTGGCTTTGCATAGTTCTTCTTCAGAGAGATGGATCGACGTCTTTTTAAAGGAGTCGATGAGTTCCTTCACTAGTTGTTGAACACGCTGCAGATAAACTACCTTCTCGATTCAATGGTTTGACTGTTACCATTTACGAGAGATGTGACCACGAACATTCCTACTTCAGAGCCAATGCTTTACCCAAGCCACCAGGTCACTCAATCTCGAATAATTCTCGGTGTTTGAAGAGATTCCGGAGTCTTCCAGTATTACCACCTTGTTGCTGTCATAAGGCTGAGAGTGACATCGAGTAGAATTCCCTATGTCTACCATGAATCCGTAGGGGAAAATGATGTCTAGTTCCGAATGGAATTCATTGGCAATGTTGGCCACAAATATCTTATCACAATTTCCAAGCCTAAGTCTCTATCTGGCTGTTTCCAGAACGCGTACTACTGATAACTTCTTCAAACTACTTGTGTTGGAAATGTCGGCAATCATTACTGACCTCATTTTTCCAGTATCGATGGTAAAAAGGCATTAGTGATCATTCAGAAATTCATCGAGATCTAGTAACAACAGTAACATATAGGCTTTTACTGTTGCATCATATCGTGGAAGTCGAATACCTGTGGGCTTGAAATGTAGCGGCCAGTGTACCCCCTTAACACTGCTTCATAATTATTATGCTTATGCACTGGAATATTTTGCAGAATTTCGCAGGTCTTTCCTCTTAGTGCCAGTATAAGGGCTGCTGTTTTCTCGTCATTTTCCGCAGCGGTCCGCTCATAAGATTCTTTCCGAAGTTCCCGGAAAACCTCTTCAAATTTTCGTCTGATTTCTCAAAACTTTCTTTCAACCCCTTTAAGTTTTTCATCAACTACTTATTCAAATTCACCTTTATTTCCTTCAATACTTCCAAATGTTCTCAAAAACTTGTTCAAATTTTTGCTGAATGAATTCCTGTACCTTCCCTTTACTCACTTGAAAAGATTTCAGTTCTTTGAATAAATGAAGTAACTCAGACAATTTTTTTTGGATATCTAGTAGTAATTCACGATCTTCCTTTCGACATAATCATTCTGCCAGTCCCACTTGCAGCAAAACCATTCCACTGTAATCGGCACTCCTTGTTTTCACCATAAAAGTTTTCAGTCAATTATTCAATTTCAGACAGCAAATGATATGTTTTTCCCATGGGTTCGACAATAATTGACCACAGTGTACAATTCAACTCAACTTTTTTCCACTACTACACTATCAATACTCCACAAAAATTATAACTGAATGTCAGACTAAGGCTGAGCGCGACCTTAATTAGGTCATAGTCAATTGGCGAAGATCACCGCGGTTTAGGGGCTAATTTACAATACAAACACAAAGATATTAAGTAAGTGCATAAAATAGTAAATAGATCTTATGAATAATAAAAAAATTAAATATAGGTATATACATAAGAATACTTGTAGCCCTACTTCAAGGAAACTACTGTAACGTGTAGGGAATTTTATTAATTGAAAATCTTTTTACTGAAAATTTGAATTTTCTCACAGTACATCCCTTATCTCTTGTAGAAGACTAATAAATAATTCTGGTTCCAAGTAACAAGGAGAATTTGCTGTCGCCTTGGACTCATAAGATTGAACATAACATTTTTTGTTTCGTCTAGTTTTAATGTTGTGAATATTATCATTCAAGGTAAAATAGTTTCTACTGTTAAATACATAAATTGGGATTACATATATAAATGATATCAATGTAGCAACTCAAATTTTCTACGACGTTTTATATAATAGTATCGAACTTTTGTACCCATAAAACGTTTCACAACATCAACTTAGAAATTCGTCAAAACTTGACGAAAACAAATGTAGAGGAGAATGATCGCCCTCCAACTTCCACAGAAGGGAGAGTTAACCCGAAAAATGAAGAATGGAAGAATGTTCACCACAGTAGAAATAACCATAAACGGTTAATCATTGGGAATAACAAAGAAACTTCCATAAAAGGAGTTAAAAAACTATTAACCCTTCACGTATCTAGAATTGATTGTGAAACCACTCCAGATATGCTTGAGGCTGAACTGAAAAAGAATTTTGCTGAGGCAAAATGCAAATCTTTGACACCAAAATACCCCTGCATATACCCATCGTTTAAAGTGTCAATATTTGATGAAAATTTAAAAAAAGCCATGGACCCAAAAGTGTGGCCAGACGGAGTATGTGTAAGTAAAGGGAGGAAGGTGACCGCGGTACCGACCACATGACGTTCCTGAACCTCAACACGAAAGAAGCACCTCTTAATTATATTTCCAGTAGAGGTGAAGTTGGTTCAAACAACTCAACAAAAACTTTTGACGAACTTGAAACCATAAGTGTATTTCATTTAAAAACGGATAGACCCCATATATTTTTAGAAGAGTTCAAATTTGACATTATCTGCCTAACAGAACTTTTGCTTAACGAAAAATGTTTGTTTTTATGTAAAATCCCAGACTATAAACTTGTCTCTTATTTTAGTAGAACTGTAAATATGCATGGTGGGGCAGACATATTAATCCGTGAAGGAAAAAATAACAAAGTGAAACAACTGGATTTGAAAGAGTTTTGCATCGAACGAGATATAGAGGTATGTGGCATTGAACTTACTAAAACTTGTATGGTAATTGTCACGATTTATAGATCAGCATGTGTTTATGATAGTGCCATTTTTTTTGCAAGTTTGAAGAACTGTTAGTGTATCTGACAGCTAAATTCATAAAAATAATTATATTAGACGACTTCAATATAGATTTTTTAAATCAATCCGCGAATAAACTCAACCTTTGTCTTCTTCTAAATTCGTTTGAGTTGGAACCCACTATCTCTGACCACACAAGAGTATTCAACAATTCTAGTACCTGCATAGATAACATACTTACGAACTTACAAAGTGGAGAATATAAAAAAATTGGAGTAATTGATCCTTGCTTATCCGACCATCATGGTCAATATATAATATTTGAGAGCTCCTCAGGGAGGGAAAAACTGCATGCCAAAAAAAGGTTTATAAACATAACTGGTTTGAATGACATGCAACAATCCTTGAGAGGAGTGGATTGGTGTATTTTCTCTGGCGGTTTCTCCATACAGCATATGGCCGATTTTTTAATAAACACATATTCTAAACTTGTTAATAAATACTTCCCCTTGAAAAAAACATAAAGTAGAGCCAGCAAACCAATATATTGGATGAACAATACTGTACTTTTAATGAAAAACAAAGTCCACGCAGCTAAAACGAGATATGATGTGACAAAAGATCATACACATAAACAGATTTTCTTAACTCTGAATAAAGAGTATCAGAATCTAATTATGAGAGAGAAAAAAAATCTTATGATAATTTCATCTTGAACTCAGATAATAAAATCAGAGATAGCTGGAAACTAATCAAACTTGAAATGAATGGAGAGGCAGTCAGAGAAAATAATTTCAATTTCACGGCTCAAGAGTTCAACTCATATTTTGCAAACGTTGGAAAAACCATCACTGAAGGCTTGTACAACAATTTGGGCACTATCCCTCTTACTAGTTTGAGGAAAAGCCAAAATTCCGATTCCTTTTTCTTTGAACCGATTACTGAATGTGAGGTTATGAATGCAATATCAGATCTCAAAAATTCAAATTCTTATGATGTTTACAACCTGAATAGTAGAGTCATAAAAGAAACAGCAGATTTTCTGATCCGTCCACTGACTATTCTTTTCAATACTTGTATTGAAGAAGGAACCTTTCCGGATAGTTTTAAAATAACAAGAATAGTTCCGGTATTTAAAAAAGGTGACAGAGAAAATATGGACAACCATCGCCCCATAGCAATTGTTCCCATATTCGGTAAACTTTTTGAAATTATACTTAAAAACAGGCTCTATATGTACTTTCAACGAAGAAATTTATTCAACTCCAATCAATTTGGATTTAGGAAGTCAACTTCCACAATAAATGCATTGAAGAAAGTTGTCGATAAGATTGTGGAAGGCTTTGAAAATAGGAAACATATTGCAGCCGTTTTATGTGACCTGACCAAGGCATTTGATTGTGTGTCTCACTCTTTATTGATCAGTAAAGTTGAGTACTATGGTGTAAGAGGGGTGCCACTAGCTCTTTTTTCGTCCTACCTAGAGAACCGAAAACAGTACATAGAACTGAATGCAGAAAATGTGTCCAATCTCGAAATTGTCAAATATGGAGTTCCCCAGGGTTCAGTTCTGGGGCCCATATTATTCATAATATATATCAATGACCTCTTTTCCTATATGTTACCAAATGAATGCATGCATAGCTTTTGCTGACGACACAACTTTCTTCAGCACTAGCAAGAATGAGAGTGGGCTATGCAATCAAACTATCTTGGCCTAGGTTCAGGTGCAACATTCTCATGCTGAATGAAATTAAAACCCAAAAACTATACTTTTCAACTAATGCCTCTGTTATAAACGGACATCATGTTAAACTGCTGGGTATCACCCTTGATGACTCTCTGAACTGGTCAGATCACGTAGAACAGCTATGTTTGAAAATATCAAAATATATATTCCTTCTTCGAAAGCTGAGGAATATGATTAGTGATCATGCATTATTATCTCCCTATCATGCGTTTTTTCACACTTACATATCATATGGAACAATTCTATGGGGTAATAGTACTGAAGCAAATAAAGTTTTTGTTCTTCAGAAAAAGGCGGTAAGAATAATATCACAGGCCAAGCAGAGTGATTCCTGCAGACCCCTTTTCGCGAAATTGAAAATTATGACTTTGCCATCTATATTTATATATCAAGTTAAAGCTTTCAATTATAATTCTTTCAAAAAATACCTAAAGAATCATCTTATCTCAAACACATTCTATTATATGGATGAATATATGGCTGCTCAACTCTAGATATAATGCCAAAGAACTAGTGCTTGTATTAGCTTTTCTAATGATATTAACTTTGATGTATATTTATATAGACATTTTATGATGTATTTTATACTGTTCGCTTTGCATAGCCGTGACTTGTCTTATTTGTACAATGTGTCTGTATTAGTTAATTGTACACCTAAAAGATAAATAAATTAATATACAATATCCAGTTTGGTTTTCCTATAAATTAAAATATCTAATCTTCAGGAAAACTTACTACACAAAGAATTTAAAAGGACAAATGATGTAGACACTTATCTTGAATTTTCCCAAGTCCGTTCTCAATGCAAAGAGTTGAGTAAAAATTGTTACAAAAATTACCTAAACAATAATGAATGTGATATTCAAAAAAAAACCCAAACTTGTTTTGGAAACATATCTCCAAATTATGCAAGGCATCATCATGCAACACACTGTCAAAGGCCTTGGAAATATCGAGCACAACAACTCTCGACTCTTTATGTTTTTCGATTGCATTATTGCAAATACAGGCGACATACAATAAAACGTCGCCTGAAATTGTTAAAGCTTTCCAACTATTTAAGGATATGGTGAGGTACGATCATACATGTTTTAATGGAAGTATTCCAGGTTTAAAAGTTTTGTTAATCGGCTGAAGAACTTCTAGATGTAATCTGGTAAATTTTGAAATATTCTGATCATTACATTAACAGTTCCAGATGTATTTTCGTTTTTTATACTGAAAATGGTATTATTCTCGTCTCGTTGTTATGAAAAATGCATGTTTTGTTAATGATTTCTGTCTGCAGCTACATTGACAGATCTTGCACATGTTTTCTCTTCCATGAAACAATGAAGATCATTTAATAATGTTTGGATGTAGTAAGTTTTTCATAATTATTCTTTTCTGTCACTTTCATATGATGTGCGAAGTTTATTAAAATGTTGTAGTCAGCTCTTCTGTCTTTGCAAAACACACTATCCTTTGCTCCCTATATGCTCACTATATTAATATTATTATTAGTTCGAGTATTTTGATGACATTTTTGATTCCGTAACATTGTTAGATAATCTTTTTTGAATGGTTTTTATTCCGAAATACGAGTTCCGACAGATAACAAAACTGGAAATCAAATTTACCAAAGACTCATTGAAAATATTTTAATTTATTATGACATATGAAATATTTTTTAAATTAAAAGAGGTATATTTTTAGGAGAGATATTTTTTTGGAAAAGAAACTTTTTGGCTTTCTACTTCTCCATCTTGATACAAAAAATGGGGGAATCTTCCAGTTTGTACCTGAAAGTAACTTCTTTGCATGATCTAAAATTCTTTGTATAGAACTACTTTTTTGAAATTGATTGCTTCCTTCCTTTCTTTGAAAGATTCCTACATTTTTTGTATCAAGATGGATAAGTAGAAAGCCATAAACTTTTTTTCACAAAAAGTTAACCTCTCCTAAAAGTATATCCTTTTCAATTTAAACAAGATTCCTTTGATGGAATTTAATCAAATAAGCGAATGAATGTCATTATGATCTCATCGATGACATGAGAAATTAATGTTTTTTTATCCTCATTACAAAAAATGAATATAAATAACAATTATCATTCAAAGTCTTAACTACTATATTTCTACTACCTTACAGTCGTTAAAAAACAATTATAACCAGTTATAATACAATAGTATCTCAACTGTTTAAAAGATCTCCAAAAAACAACTGGATTTATGGAAGAACAGTTCATGGCTTTTAAACCACTATAATGCACCTGCTCACATTTCATTGCTTGTTTGTGAATTTTTGAGCAAAAACAATACTGTAACAATACACCAGCCTTGATATTGGCCAATCATGGCTCCGTACGGCATTTTTCAAAAATAATAAAAACCTTAAAGTGACTTCGTTTTACAAGCATAGATGACATTAAAACACTTAACTGAAAGACCTAGAGGCTATGCCACAGATCGAGTTTGAGAAGTGTTTCGAAGATTGGAAGAAGCACTAGCATGTGCATGAAATCCAATAGGGACTATTTTGAAGGTGACAACATTAATGTTTATGAATAACTATTTTTTTTTAAGGGAACTCCCGTTATTTTCTGAACATACCTTGAACATATCTCAAATTCTCTTAAAACATTTCAATGAAATTTCCCTAATCTAATAGGAATATTTGGAGTTTATGACTAAACAATAAAATAACAACTGAATTGATGAGTTAAAGTTAGACTTTGCTACTCACCATCCTTAACAATATTATTTGATACTGCTAAAATTTTTTCGGATTTCTGACACTGCTTCACAAACTTCAAAGTCTTTCTTAATACTAAAAAGCAAATGGGACAAACAAACTGATCATCGGCTAGGGTAGAGTTCTGAAAGAAATTATTCATTTATTTATATTGCATATGACGTTACATAATGATATGATTACTTGAAGCAGTACATAGAGTCAAATACAGAAAACCTAGCAAGATGATTAAAAATTCTGCAAAAGCAATGTGGTTGTGCAAAATTTTCCTAGCTATTGTGCTAGAAAACTATATCAAATGGAGTTCCACAGTCTCTTTCACTGCTTCTAATTTACATGAACTCAATTTCTAAACGTTCATGGAATATCTCAGCTCTATACTGATGATTGGTCATTAGGAGATTGGTTGAAATACTATATAAGTTAACTCTTTAAAGACAAAAGTTAAATTACTTAGGCAGAAGCTGCTCAGGTTTAATTATATCAAATATCTAGGTCTGTACATGACTCTAAACTCAACTGGAAATGCCATATTGTTGATCATCTGTGTAAGAAAAATTCTTCCACCTTTGGAATATTGAGTGGAGTAGCAAAATACCTACAATTTTCACAAAGACAAGCTCTCTCTATCACGTATTAATAAATTCTCATTTTTCTTATTTGACTCTGTTATGAACTAATATGTCTTATAATGAATTGAAGCCGCTGCAGGTCTTTCAAAAATGAACTTTCCAGAATATATTTGAACTCCCTTTCCATTAATCAATTAGCCTTCTGTACAAACTTAAGAATATTTTGGATATTCACTCATTTGCAGCTTATACGAGTAAGACTTGTGTTTTCATTATAATTTGTCTGGAAACAACATTCACTCAACAATAGAATTTTGCACATTTGAAAAAACTTATAATTATAGGACCAGAAATAAAACTCACTTCAGAACAATATTGATCAGGACTACTGCAAATGCCAGGAGTATACTTTCTGAGGAGTTGAGATTACATAATATTTTATGGAGTAAAATGAAACTGTTGAGAATTGAAACCTTCCATTATCAATTTTTTGGAATTAAATTACCTCTATTCTATCTATTATCTAAAGCATTGGTTTTAATTCTAATTCTATCTTATGTTTATGAAAAAATAGCTTTCTGGACTGACATTCACCACCTGAACGGACATTCACCACCTGAACGTACGATTTAAATCCAGAGTTACGCCACCACTGCATATATAACAAGTCAGTTTCGAAACAAAATTTCAAATGACTTGATAAATCTGTCCATTCCTTTCTTCAAATTCAAACTGAAAATGTAAATTTGCTTGTTTGGTTTAACTGTAATAATAATAACAACTTAACCAGTTGTCACACCCTGTATTAATATAATTTATTTGGTTGAGTGAAAGAAAGCAGAAATGTGATCTGGGTCTGAAACTGTAATTTAATTAAAGTTCTAGATAGTCTACCCCTGAACTTTTGACAAATAAACAGATAACACATGAGAAATACCAATCGAGAATTTTGTGCTACCATAAAGCCGTTTTTTTAAATATGCTCCCAGAGCTGTTGATGGTTGCATGGAACAGAAAGAAGAACGTACTGAATTGTAAATCTGTGATTTACAATTCAGCAGCAGCAGCATTCTCTAAAAGTTATCAGGTTTCTGGTGTTGTTGGCCATAGTCTGTAAAGTTTTACACCTGACGTTTGTCTACAACTGCGGTAGATATTATAAAATGTGAACAGGCAGGATGCAGCATCTAGTTGTCCTAACTGAGACATATACTGTGGCGGTAGTACATATCTCATGTGAGTCTCGATCAAAGAATTGTAAACGTAAGTGCATGATACCCTGGAGCCAATTTTTTGATTGAAACATTCATAGGCAGATCAAATTTAATTTATCTATGGAAATTTTTTTTTAGACAACTACCAATTTGATGGTGATTCCGTTTTTTTATAACTTAATTGATTAGAATCACACCAGGTAATTACTCTGTTGATTCGTATCTGGTTGGTAAGCGTGAGTGATTCATTCTGTTCATTCAATCAACAAACTTGTGAAGGTTGATTAGTGTTCAACTATATGGTTCTTAATTTCCACTGCGTACCATCTGACCCATGCTAGAAATCACACGTTGAAAGGAAATATCTCGTTAAAATTTAGATCACACAAGTTGCCACTTCTGAGGCTTGTCGTTCGTAAAGAGCTGTCCACACAGCTACTTACTTGAGCGTTTCAGTTTGCGCATAAAGACTTGACAAAAATTAGGATGCCTACATGTTGCAGGTAAATCCGTGCAAATACCAGTATTTGAAAATTTATGTTTCTGAAGAAGTTGCAAAAAAATATCAATGTGGGCAACAACTGAAAGTTGTTGGAAAGTTTCTATACTGTTTACTAATTTGAAAAAGAGAAATTTTTCTTGATTGAAATGCTGTAAGAAATAACTATTGAGGAGAAAAAATCATTGACATGTGAATTTAATAAATGATTTAAGAGAAGATCTAGATGACTGCCATAATTATTTAAGGATTTGTACAACTCAAAAGCCAACTGAACTTCTCTGAAGAGGTGAAATACCTTGGTATTATCCTCGACAAGAAGCTAACATGGAACTCTCATCTACAGAGTAGAGCAAAAAGAGCATATGTGGCTTATGAGCAATGTCGGAGGACAGTGGGACGCGCATGGGGTCTTTCACCCCGTGTAGTCGCCTGGATCTACACTGCAATAATAAGACCTGTGTTAACGTCTAGAGCCATTGCATGGGGACCGAAAGTTCTACAAGCAACGGCCATCCAAAAATTATATCAAATACAGCGACTGGCTTGTTTAAACATCACAGGAGCCATGAGAACAACACCAACCGCGGCAATGGAATTAATCACGGGTCTGACCCCTCTGGATCTGTACGTTAAGGAGGTTGCGTTAATGGCCATGATACGATTGCACACGGCTGGTGTAAACCTAGAAGTAGGAATGGGTCGATTGAGGCTGGGCCTATGGCGGGAAGCGCTTACTGCGCAACCTCTGCTGCAGGCAACAAGTGATGCAATTGAACCCAGGTTTGTGTTTAATAAACCCTACAAAATACAAATTAAGCAGAACACAGAGTCAGATGCTACAAATGCAATACGGATTTATACAGATGGCTCAAAAACCAAAGAAGGTTCAGGATGTGGAGTGTACTCCAGATCACTAAGCCTAAGGATTAAATGGGGAATGGGAAGAAATACCAGCGTGGTCCAAACAGAACTGGCTGGTATCTCAATCGCCACAAAAGAAATAACCAAGAAAAGAATTTCTGGCAAAAACATAACAATCTGCACTGATAGCAGACAAGCACTATTAGCCTTGAACAGACACCGTGTTACTTCAGGGCTAGCACTAGAGTGCCACCAAGATTTAGCCAAAGCCTCGGTAGATAATAACATTATCCTGAGGTGGGTTAAAGGGCACGAAAAGAGTAAAGGTAATCGCATTGCCGACTCTTTAGCCAAGGAAGCGGCTGGACTAAGAATTTTAGGACCAAGTGGCACCCACGGCCTGATGACATCGACAATTGCGAAACTAGTCAAATGTTACACCCATGCTCAATCTTTAAAGAGATGGGATGAAATCAAAGGATGTAATCTTGCCAGGATCACCTTGGGCGACCCTGGGAAGCTGGCGCCGAAGAAATATCTGGCGATGACCAGGAAAAATCTACGCCTTACAGTAGGATTTCTGACTGGCCACTGTCAGCTAAGGAAACACCTACATAATATGGGGCTAGTGCACACCTCTATGCAGGATGTGTGAACAGGAAGATGAGACTGTCAGGCATATCCTGTGCGAGTGCCCGGAGTTATCGTCAATAAGAGAGTGTGTGTTCGGCGAGTCTTGGCCTACACCTGCCGATATAAAGGAGATGTCTCCCAGCGACCTGTCCACCTTCCTGGAAAGGACAGGATGGACGACGACCTAGGAGGACAACTCCTCGGGAGGATGTACAATGGGTCACATGTGGCCTAAGTGCGTGGGCTTACACTCACCCTCCCTACTCTACAGATACAGATACAGAACTCTATGAATCTATGAATCTACTATAAAAGTTCAAAAGGATTATTTTTGGTGACACAAATTGAACACCGTTCACAAACACATGCACAGGTAAGGGTACGGTAAAGCATGGACATGTGGACAGCCCTTAAGCGAACAACGGCTGGTTGATGGAAAAACTTATTTTAACAGAGAGACAGACATAAGTTTTTAGCAATAGTCTGTTACATATTTTGAGTATTTTTACTATACCACGGCAAAAAGTGGATATGACCCAATAATGAACCTTGAGGGATTCCCAAGAAGATGTCTCTACTCTGTGATAGTATTTCCTGTTTTAACAAACTGCTCACTAATATAGGGTTTGAACCAATTAAGTCATACTCCTCTAATATCAATAGCCATCAAGTTTTCACAAGTATTTCATGATTTACACACTCAATGGTCTCAATAAAATCACAGAGTACTGCAACTACAGCCTTCCCATTATTGAGGTTGGTATAAACAAGTTGGAAGAAATCATATGGCATTAATGGTACTTTTTGACTTCCAGTTGCCAAACCAAATTTTACCAAAAAGTTTTTGAACATTTTGAAAGGCCATTATTACCATTTTTCATTCATTTTTTAATAATAACTAATAATTAGATAAATCATGAAAAGTCTCACCATTTCAGGCACAAGTTGCACCAAACCTTCTTTCACAGATATCCCTTCGAAACATAACATTGAGATAGAAGCTTGTTCCAACTGATTTGGGACAATATCCAAACATGTGCGACATCTAAATCAAAAAACAAATTTAATAAAAATGAGTCTCTTATTTATTAAATTTACCTCATTTCATTTCTTTTTTTGGAGCGCTTTATATCTTCCTGGTTAATAAAATTGTCAGAGTGGGAGTATAAATCACTAAGTTCAAATGTTTTGTCTTCACACTGAATTGTCTGGTGTCCTGAATTTTGCGGTAAAACAAATATACTATTTGTAGTAGCTCCAGAAACTTGTGGATTCGTCATAATTCTGCTTGTTGTTGATGGATTGAAAACAGTCTGACTGTCACCTTGTAAGGGTGCCAGAGTGTGCCGTGATTTCTTTGCAGGTTTTGTAATTTCAGTAAAATCATTCTTTGTACTTTGTTTTGATGAAAAAAGACTGATATTGGTCTGAGTTGGAAGGCACTGAGTTTTCCATGAGGAGTCTGTCTTTTTTTCAGAAACATTCATGATTTTGATCTGAAGTTTTTTTACTATCCTCTGACTTTGGTTGCTCAACACTGTTTTTCACATGATGGGGCCTTCTTTGAAGCAGTTTTGCTAAAGTAGCTTGTGAACTTCGATCCTCAGATATCAACTGAGATACGAAAAATTGATCTGATTTTGCTGGTACTTTCAAAAACTGATTTTTTCTCCTTGTTTCATTTTTAACTGATTTTATTGATTGCCAGCCATCAAATCCTCAGACCTGAAAATATAAATTGTAATATGTGTAAATAGAAAATACATGTAATAGTCGTAGTCGAATGAAACCTGAAGTACCAAACGTTTCGTCTGATACTGCGACAGATATCATTAGTGGTATGTACGTTGATTGCGAGGATGAAGGTTATATCTCGAATGCTCAGTCAGTCATTGCTTATATTTCGAGATATAACAGAGATACTGGCCTCAACAGTAATTTTTTTTTAACCTAGAAGGACATTAATTCATATTCGAGTACATGACGTCAATCTAAACAACTTTATGTTTGAAAATTTAGGGGTAAATTAGTCTTGCATCAATTTCTAATTTTTGGCTCTCTATGTATGATGGAAGGCTGTTTGAAATGATGCAGACAAAACAGACAGTTTGTAGGGGACAATTAGAGACTCAAGAAAAAGTGAAGAGTGAAGTGAAGAAGAAACTGGTCAGTAGACCAAACAATGATTAACATTATCTATCCATCAGATATGTGAAATCCATTCCTATTATTGTCTCAAAAAAGAAAACAATGACTTGCACTAATTTCAGTTATATGGACTATGTCTTCTATCAGTCCCAGAGATGACATCTTCGCAAGAGGAAACGTCATAGCATTTTTTGCCATCAGGTAATAATCATTTTTTACTATAAGGTGATCACATTAGTAAAGCAATCCTGAAAAATGTTATTGTTCAAATAACTCTACAGAAAAAAGTCAAAGTGACCAAGGTCAGAGGATATAGGAAGCCTTTGAATATGATTTCATCTACCATTGAAAACCGTCCTAATCCGAGAAATTGTTCAGAATGATAGAACATACCTTATACCATTCAAGGAGGTATCGTAAAAAAATAAACCAATAATTTTCTTAGCCATGATAAATTTTATAGTCAGACAAAGAAACACGAGACAAAATGAAGCCATTTTTTATTAAAAGACTATTATAATACTCATTATAGTCCTTTTCCTCATACGTTATGGTTAGCTAATAATCTAGAAAATTCAATTAGTACATACCTACATACACACTTCATCTGTTGAATTTAAATTAGCCTAAATATTTCTTGTTTACGTGGGCGGACCCAAAAAAAAAGCGATTTGGGGTGTGCTAGGGAGGGAGAACTCCATTTTTTCGACCAGGTATTCAGGGTCATTTCCCCTGAGTCACTGTGCAAAGTCGTGTTGATGTGAGTGCATCGGTTCGCAGG